AACAAGATAATATATAATTAACTCGGTACTAATTTTGGGCATAATCTTTTCTATACGTAATCGACTCCAAACTTAATCCTGTTGATGTAGACTAAAACCTATTTTTTTTAGGAATCTTAGTCAAGGTTAGGATAACTTTAAAAGACATATTTAAATACGTAGCTAATCACACCTTGGTAAAAAAGTTTAGTGACAAATCCATAATTTTTATATCTAATGGGCAAATTCTCGGACTTGATGTTTTTAAAAATAGAAAAATGATAAAACAATTAGATTTTTTCTTTTTTTTTTTTAGATTTTTTAGATTCCTTTAAATTTTTAAAGAATTTTTTAGTTTTCATATGTTTTTGTAAAAAGTCAATTATCATGTCAGCAAAGTTAATAAAAAATAATTGATCTTATTAATAATTAGATTAACATTATTAAATTTAATTTGTATAAGGATAAAATTTTTATGGATTATTTTAAAGGGATTAAAATTTAAATTCTATGACCGTACATTGACCATTTATAAAATATGACAACTAATTTCATCAATTTAACTTGTCACATCAACAAAAGTTAATGCCAAGTTAGCAATGTCAATACCTACGTTATCAAATTAAAGGTTGCTCTAACAATTTTAATAGTAAAAAATTTGATTGAGTTAATGATTAAATTAAAATTATCAAATCAAAATAATATAAGGACTAAATTTTTATGAATTATAGTAAAGGGATTAATTTCAATTTTCAATAAAGTACAGAGATCATTAACAGAATTTGACCATTTTAGAATTTATGATTATGCAATTAGGGATATCAATGAATAGAGTATGGAACGAGTATAGTATTTCCCATCTCCATTCCAAATTTTTTATATTATATCTCCACACCAATATCCAACAGGTATTTCAAATTCATTTCCATCTCTATTCTCGTAGATATTTAATTGGTATAGATAATTCTTGTACCTATAACTTTTTAAAAATATAAAATAAAATGTATTTTTTAAACTTTTTAAAAAATTTTATTTTATTTTTGTAATTTTTTTATAAATATATTAATATATATTCTAAATAGAAATATATTAGTTCTAATTAATTTAAAATAATAATTTATATTATTTAATAGAAAATCTATCTACTAAATATATATATAAATATAATTATATATGTAGAGCATATATACAGGTACAAGGCAGATATTATATTATCTGTCATTATCTTTTTATTCGGTAAAAAATTTAAAATCATACCAATCCCCATGATGTAATACTCAACGCCATCCCTATTCGGATAAAAAGTTAGATTTCTCATTGGGTATGAATAAAATTGATATCCTATATGTAATTAGATTTAAGTATAGGCTATTTACTGTGAAAATATCTTATATAAATATACAAAAATCAAAATATTTGATAAAAGGTAATTATATTATATGGACAAGCTCATTTTTTGACATGTGAAATGTAATACCCCAGCCTAAATGATAATTGGGCTAGACTAATACCAAAGCCCATTAGTTTATTAAGAGATTAATTAATAAAAGAAAAAAGGCTGAGGTATTAAATGAAAGAAAACATAGCTATCAAGAAACAAAAAGGAAATATGAGTTATTTTTTCTCATTTTTCTTAGGGTTAAAGAATATGAAAAATCAAGTTGGCGATTCAAAATCAGAGGCTACAATCAAGTTAATCCACTAAAGGTGAGTGTATGCCCTCTTTTTATTTAAGAAAAATATACCATTTTGGTTGCTTTTATATAGAGTTAAGGTTTTGAAAGAAAAACTAAGAAAATTATGAAATCTTTCATTAATCTTCATGATCTATTTGGGTAAATTATTGGGCTTTGTTTATTTCATGTTCTTAAAATTTATTGATGATTATTGAATGAAGTTCAAAGGCTGAAAGTGGGGATTTGAATTTTTAAAGATTGAAGGAAAAAATCTATTTTTAGATGAGATGCTATGATCTGCAATAGTGAATCAAAATAGAATTATATATTAATGGATAGATTATTACTATAAGTATTATATATTGTTGGAAAGCTTGTTGAATCTACTTTCTAATGAAACAAATGGAAGTCGAATACGAGTTTTCTAATTTTTACTCAAGGATATGCAGGCTATATGATAGCAGCATCAGGGTTGGATTACAAAAATTATCTTAATTTTTATACAGAGAATTACATATTAAGCCATATATATTTAGAAAGCTTATTGAGTTTACTTTCCAATAGAATAAGCAGAATTGAATTTGGAGTTTCTTATGAATAAATGCATAATTTTTATTAGAAGGTATACAAGCTGTCTACAGTAGCATATAACGTGGATTTAAAAAATTGTTATAATTAATCCATAAGGAATCACGAGATGGGCCATATATGGTTAGAAAGCTTATCGAGTCTAGTTTCTAATGCATTAAAGAGATTTTAATTTTGAATTGGATATCTCCAGATATGGTCATTTTAGTAAAAGAAGCACAGGTTACTAAAATTAGTTACTTGAGTTAATTTTTATTTAACTTAATTATTTTGGTATGAGTGATCTCAAATGGGTTGATTAATCACTGTTATGTTGAAATTATCTTGAATAGGTTGTTAATTATTTTGAGAAAAAAATTAGGTGGTGAAATCGAAAAGAAATAAGTAAAATTTTACATACTTTGTTTGTTTTTAGAATCTATGTATATATGTATGTTTGTAAATGAATGAATATTTTATTTCATTATTTTTGATGTATGAAAATAGGATTAAGCATATGATTATTTTGTGTTTCTCTATATAAACGATGGATCATGCTTATGAATGAAATGAGAAAATGATTTATGTTAAAAAAATGATTTTATGATAGCTACATTTTTACATCACTGAGAAGTGGGATCATCGACACCAGATTAGTTATACGACCCTGACTAACGGGTAGTAGTAGTTAGCAAAGATATGATCATACGATCTTGGCTAACAAGTAATAGTAGTTAGCGTAAAACCTTGGCTAGTAGTTATAATAATTAGCAGTGATCATGATGATGAAATTATCGATACGATCAATGTCACGGGTTATAGCAATGACCATAGCTAATGATAAACGAATGATAATGATGATTTATGATGATTTTTAACATTGTTCCATGATTTGTATGAAATATGTATTTGACCGTAATTTGTAATTTATAATTGATAAATTGACATATTTTAACATTAATTTATGAATTTACGAAATGTTTGATAAAATGATGATCTTGAAATGTTTTGACATTATGATTTGATGACTATTTGAATACTCTATATGATATGTATGAAAACAATGTTTAATCCGGTAAGGTATGTGAGCCTATACTTGCTGAGTTGTGGTTTGCTCATTCCTCATTTACTTTTTTTTTTTACAGATGAGTAAGTGATAAGTATAATTAGTCATATAAAAAGTTAGAAGATCAAATGGGGAAGATTACTTAGTCGTCAGAGACAATATTGGCTAATGAGATCTTATGAAACAGTTTTCTATTTTTTATGATTTGTATTTGATATATAAAGATATATCATTAGTTGGATTAAAGATATAGATTTTACTTGATAGACTATATCGATTTATTGAAGAATTTTAAAATGATTAAGAAAGAAAACTTTGTATTACTTTAAGATTTACTTCAAGATAATATGATCATGTTGCGTCTTAGTTTCGGGGCATGAGATGAAATGTTTTGGATAAACGCCACATATTCTCTAATTAATAAATTTTATTTGATTTGATTTCAATTAAAATTTCAATTCTATTTAATTTAATTTTAAGTCAAAATCTATTTTATTATTAATTCTCTACTCACCTTAAATCATGCTCAAATCTTATTAGTAGTATTTTTAGAAAAAGAAATAATAAAAATTTGATTAATTCTCATTTATTCAAAAAATAATATTAGGAAAAAAATTTACTATGGCTTATTGACCATTGCATAAACTACTCTAAATTTGATATTACTCTTATCTTAATTTGATTCTTATTAATAATACAATTTTTAATCAATTAACTATTCAAAAATTTTGAATTTTTCATAATTATTTTCAACCTCCCATATGTAAGCATTCTGTTTTCGAATTCGATAATGCATTAGGGCAAAGTTTTGTTTTTGCATACCTATTTTTCCTAATTTTTTCTAAGAATGTGACTACATAAAATGTTTTTCTTTTTTCTTGATTCTTCTATTTTGTGCTGTTATATTAAGATTTGTTACTTTATATAGTTATAAAAAATTTTGCAAAATGGTTTTATTGTTTTTAGGTTTTGTATTTTTGTATTCTTCTTGGATATAAAATTTTTTTTATTCATGTATTTCATCACACCAAATAATATTGGTGGAACAATTATTCTTTTCAAGAAGTCTATTTTTTAAAAGAGTTTCATTCTTGAATATAATTTGATATATTCTTATATTAAAAAAATTATTCAACTTAAATTAATTATATATATATATATATTTAAAGAGTCAATATTCTTACTTTTTATTTTTATTTTTACTTCTACAAATAAGAACCTATTAAATTATCTAAAAATTAAAATGTGGATTTGAAAGTATACACTTCCCTATATTTCTTTTTAATATCACCTCTCTTTAAAATGTTTAATTTATTTGTTGAGCAACTTTTCATTCAGCTTTATATTTGGCTTTAATTTGCCTTTTTTTTATTTAATTATGCTAGATATTTGCTATGAAATTATTCGATCGTATATGCAAAATTTGTACATTTAATTTTATTTTATTAGATGTTGTTTGGATGTATGTATATGCGAAATTTATATTCCAACGCCTCCCATTTTCCGCCACGTGGGACGAACAACAATTTCATACGTGCAATCTTCTCTACCATAAACAGCAAAAATGAAAAATCTACTTGCTGCTGTGGCTCAAATATAGAGGCCGAAACAAAACCCATCTTATTCCACATTTACCCCTACTGTCTACAGGAACTTAACCAACAGGCCCAGGTCTGTTTTTGTAATTTCAGGTTCTAAACTTGCATGACATAGTCAAAATCCCGTAAACATCGTTCCGCCCGTTCGCACCCTATCCATAAGCCAAACTACAAAATTCTTCTTCTTCTTGTATCTTTAAAAAGTTTTCCGGGGAAATTTTTTGGAGCAAAGCGCGAGAAAGTGACGGAAAATTTTAATTTTCCGTCTAAAAAGTTAATTTTAAATAAAAAATGCATTCGCTGAGCCTTAAGGTTTTCACTGATTTGAATGCGGGTACGAGGAGGAACCGGTTTCCGGGTAGGGTCGGTCAGGGGTTGTCGGCGGATCTACACTTTGGGGGGAAGAGAAGGGTTGGGTCGGGTTGTTGGGATGGTGGCGTTGCGTGGAAGTGTAGGATAGTGGCTTGTGCGGTGGAGAGGAACGGGAATGGTGGTGGAGGGGAGAGTCCGAGTTTGAACCCGAATCCAACTCGGAATGAGAGTTCGTTTCTTTCTCGGAGCCAAACTTATGCAATGCTGAAACATCAAATGGAGGTTGCTGCTAAATCTGAGGTCAGTTGTAAATTTATTTATTTATTTTAAATTTGTCTTTAAAAAAAAAAAAACGAAGTGAGAGTTTTGTTTGGATTATAGGATTATAAAGAAGCAGCGAGGATACGTGATTCTTTGAAAATGTTGGAGGAAGAAGAGCCTATTTTGAGACTTAGGAGGCTGATTAAAGAAGCTGTTGCCGATGAAAGATTTGAGGTACTTCCCCAACAGTGGGCAGCTTTTTTCTTTTTCCCTGCCTTTAATTGATTCAGTCTGAATATGTAACTTTGAGTGAGAAGTATAGGTAGCTTGGAATCATGGAATGCGGCTTTTTTAGTTTGAAATGCTATCTGAACTACAACTGGGAAGGCTTGCAGTTCAAGATGGAACCATAATTCAACTGCGTTATGCGTTATAGACAAAACTTAGCTACCATTTCGTGTTTTCTTTTCCTACTGTTTCACAATGAATAGGTCTAAAGATTAAAATTATTGACCTCACCTAAAACTCATGCCAATTTTAGTTTTTGTGGTCAGCAATTTTGAACACAGTCTATTTTTTATTTGGATACCTAAGAAAGAGGACATAACTCATAAGTCTTGTCGAAGTTTTACCCATTATGCCATTGGGAGTCTAGAGATGGTATTACTACTGTGCTCTCTGTTTTGGTATCCTATCACAGTTTTTGTATGATATATTTAGATCCTGCATGTAACTGTTGCTCCTTTTATTTGTATACAATTTAGTTGGCTCAGCATTTAATTTTATTCATCATTTCCTTTTGCACATTTTGATGGCCTTTATATCCATTGTTCTTGTCTTCTCTATACTTTGAACACAGATAAGATCATCGCTATCATACTTTCTCCCCAGTTTTTTTTTTTTTTTCTGGCTTTTGGAATTTTCCTGAAAATCATCAGGAATGCAACCAAATTTCTAATGTTAGATAATTGAAGATTATTTATGGATAACAATCTTATATAATGCATGTGTATGTTAAATCTGTTGAAACTGATGCCTTTTCTGCAATTCTTTAGGATGCAGCTAGGTATCGTGATGAGTTGAAAGAAATAGCACCCCACTCTCTCCTGAAGTGTTCAAGTGATGCAACAACCTTGGTATGACATTGATCTAATTACACACATCTTCCATTTCTGGTTTCCAAAAGGATTTTTTATTATTTTTAAAATTATATTCTAGAGGACTACAGTAGGTTCATGCAATAACTCTTTTTCTGGTTTAGTGGATAGGTTAAGTAGTTTTTAGTCTCTATAAGCAGGATTTTACCTCCTTTGACTTTGTTTCTAACATTTAATTTGGTGTTAATTTTGTTGCTCACCTTTCTTATTTTGCAAGTGAGAAACAAAAAGTTTTGGATACAAAAGCAAATATATGTTTGAGGAATTGAAACTAAAAGTTTATTTTTCATAAATAACAAAATGAAATTTTAGATTTATGTGGGACCATTATATTTGAATTTATTTACTCTTTGAACCATTTTTTTCATTTTTAATCTAGTATGATTTTGCTTGATAACATCTTTTGAGAAAGTATAAGAGAAGCAGTACAAGCAAGAAGTGAAGCCTTAACTAAATTAGAGATATTTTGGTATTCGGAGAAGTCCTTGTTAAAGGTGTGCTCCGATGCTAAAGTAGGGTTATCAATTCCCATCTTCATTTATGTAACCTAATGGTACTTTTGATAACAATGTCTTCCTTGCTACTTTCTAAAATTATATTCTAGCTATGTAGGCTGAATTTGGCCATTATTGTTGTTAAGACCCCTGATTTTTAACTGAGATGCTCTTTTCAATTTTTTTTTTTAATTCTCTGACCAAATTCTTAAGTTGAGGTACCCTTTGGGATCCTAAGTACTTACCAACTGAATGGAGTAAGATCTGTAAGGTTTCTCCTTCTGACATTTGGCTTGGTGGAATATATTTCCACTCCCTTATTGGAAATTTTTATATAATTATCTGGATCTGTTAAGACAGAGCCAACACTCAATTACAGAAACTTGCTTATTTAAAGATGAAAGGGAAGAAAAAGATAAACCTTCAATGTGATACAAATCTTTGGATATTTCAGGGAATCAGAGTTCAAGTTAGGAGTGTGTACGTAGAGGGGCGTAGTATACCTTCAAGGGACCAGTACGTTTTTGCATATAGAATAAGAATAATCAATAACTCAGATCGTCCTGTTCAGCTTCTCAGAAGGCATTGGATTATCACAGATGGCAATGGGAAAACTGAAAGTGTTTGGTGAGTTAACTCTATTATCTTCTATGCTATCTTTTATTTATCATTTTGAAATAGCTTAGTTTCAGTCTTCTCCTTCCACAGTTTGAAAAGTATCTGATGGGATTTTTTTTTGATTCCTAATATCCATAAAATCTGATCCTGTAGCTTTCCTTTACTGCAGGGGAATTGGAGTTATAGGCAAACAGCCAGTTATACTTCCCAGAACAGGTTTCGAATACTTATCTGCTTGCCCGTTAAGTACTCCCAATGGCAGAATGGTAAGAGGGGCCTGCCCTTTGATTTACATTCTTTCTTGCTGGAAAAGATGTCTAATTTTATAAAAAACTGAAGTACTGTTTAATCAAGGAATCATGGATGCTTCTAAACCCCTTGCATACCTGTGTTGTATCCGTGTTTGATGCTTTAATGGTTGTGACACATCGAAATAAATGTCAAACTTGGCCGGATTAAACAAAGAAGTAGAAAAAGAAAAGGAAAAGACAATTCTCGTGCGGATAATGATACCACATGTTCTTTTATTTTTGTGTCTATCATCTTTTTTTTTTCAATAGGGTAAATATCTTTTAAAAGTAAGCCCAATATCTACCATATATTTTTAACTGATGATTATAATAATAAAAAATATTTTGTTATTGTTGTGTCCTGCTGTATCCGTGTCCTCATTTTTTAAAAATTGTCGTGTTGCCATGTCTGTATCGTGTTGTCCCGTATTACGTGTCCGTGCTTTATAGTGTTTAATTAATAGAATTTGAAAAGAATTTCTTTTTCTAACTTGCAATTTTCAATTTGGCACTTGCCTTTACAAGAATGATGATTATGATGTTTAAGCATTAGTTAATTGATGCAACATGCTCTAATCTTTTTTAGTTATTGTGTAAATTGCTTCCAAGTTCCAACAAAGAATGTTCATATTCCAAGGTTTTAATCCTATTTATCTTACTATGCAACAAGTTGATGGCCTGGGTAGAAAATAGTACAGACAGATGACTGACAGACTGTACAAAGCCTATCTTTGAATTTATTCATTAAGCTACCAATGGGTTGAGATCCATAAGATAAATTTTGTAAATGTAGAGCGCATAGGACTCTTTATTGGGAGTGACATGTGGTTGTTTCATGATTTTTCTTTCTTTTTTTGCTTTTTTTTGTTTATTTAAAAATAATTCAGGTTCACAAATACTACATTTTTGTAAGTAAAAACGTAGCGTTTGAGAAAAAAAAAAAAAACATTGTGTTTGTACATATTGAAACATAGTGTTTGGTTAAAAAAATTTACAAAAACTACGTTTCTTAAAGTAAAAAGTAGGCTTTTATATCTTACATCTTTTATACTATTTTTAACAATTAAAGTAATAAATTTAGGCAATAAAAATATTATTAAGAGTAATAAAGAAGATGTTGGAATTGATTGATAGAGATGGTGGTAAGTGGGCAGGTGTGACCCGTCCATTTTTTGTAATTTATTTTGTTTTCCTTTCTTTTTTTTTTTTTTTTTGAAATTTTGTTTTGGTTTCAAACATGATTGATAATAAATAAAAAAGTTAAGAGTAAAAATTTATTTAGACTATGTTTTCAATGTTAGAAGTGTAGTTTTTAATCACAAAAACCACGTTTCTTTAGTAAGAAACATAGTTTTAACATAAAATAACACCATGATATGACAGCATCTTGACTCCTTCTAAGGTAAGCCCCATGTCATGCTTGGTGTCTTTCTTTTTTCCTTCTCCCATCTCTTTTGCATGTAAACTCATTTTTTATCTGAAAAAATGGAGAGGGGTGGATGACAAGGTGTGTGAGGACTTTCATTTTTCGTCCTTTTTCTTCTTTTTCTTTCTCTTACCACTAAAGAAAGGGTTGGATGCTTCTCAGGCCATACCAATGCCAGAGTCACCTGCATTTGCCATTTTTTGGTGTTTATTTACTTTTTTATCAGAAATTTTTTTAAATCTAGAATGTTTGAGATTGGTGATACTAACATCAGATTTGATCATTTTTTTCTTCTCTTTTCTTAATTTTTTTTCTCATTTATGCAAATCAGCGGCACCCGAGTGGCAAAATATGGCACGCCGATTGGCCTCTTTTGCAATTTCTCATAACTTTTTGAGGGCTCTCATATTTTCTTCTTGCCTTGGTTGTTGTGCTCTTTTATGCTAAAAATGTAAGATGTCAAGGAGATAATATTTCCTCACTCAATCTCCAACTCTTCCCACCTCCGCTGCCTCCACTGCAAAGCCCTTCTCCTCCGAGGCCTCGATTACCTCCTTTGCATTTTCTGTGGCAAACACAAGACCAATATGACACCTCCACCCATCAAATTTAAGTCCAGTTGTGGTTACCGCTGGTTTATACTTTATCGTTCAGCTGTACATAGGTATTCTGAATGCAGCCCTAATGTTAGTCTTTCTACAGCATATTCATCATAGAATATGTTTGCTGACTATAAAAGTGAGTCAGATTACTTGAGTGTAGTCTACTTTGTGGTCATTTTCTCCACTTCCTTGAGTATGTGGAAGCTTATGCTAATGGTCCTTGTCCCCTTGGATGCATGTCATATGTACCATTTGTGTTTCATTTTTTTTTTATCGTTTTTAATACCCTTCTTTGTGAGCTTAGTCCTGAACTTTTTGGGCTACTTGGACAGTCTGTTAAGATGCTGTCAAGAAGTTCTTATTTCCTTGGGTTCATTGCAATGCAGGAAGGAGACTTTGAGATGAAACACATTGACAGAGTAGGCACACCGAGTTTCAATGTAGCCATCGCCCCATTTTCTCTCTCCACACTAGGGGATGATGCTGGTACCTTCTGAAATCTGAAATGACATTATTACCTTGGAGTAGCAGAATAACCTTATCAATAAATACAATCAGGTTATTTTCCAACTGAAGCTTGGCTTTGTAAAGCATGTTCTTTTGTGATCAAAATGTACAGATCTTCCAATGTAAGAGCGTACATAGGTTAATGAAATGTATTTTAACCAAACTTTAAACAAAATGATTTGATAGGGATAGATATAAATGTTTTATGTATAAAATTTCCCGTTTGGATGAATGAATAATCCCAATAGTATAAGTTGGAAGGATTTGGTGATTGCCTAAGCTTGCTTGTATATTTTGAGGAACTTAGTTGCCAACTATGGCTATTATTTTTGTGTAGATCTAATTGCAGGTTAAGTAAATTCCAAATACGCATGTACTGAAGTTGAGATTTCATGATCTTTCTATGAATTTCTAGACAGCATAAAAAATTGCTGTGATCATGAGAAGTTGCAGATTCCAAATTTTGTTGATTCCAAGCATTGGGTTTATATAAACCAACAAAAATGAGTTTCGCTGTTGCTTGACACATATCACATGGACCCGAATGCCCAACCTCTGGACTCTCATAACTTTTACACGAGTACAAACCCGAACGCTCATCAGAGCTTTGTCGTTAGTCTCTGGCTGCCTCACCAACAATCATTAAGAAAGCTCTCTCTCTCTCTCTCTCTCTCTCTCTCTCTGTGCTTTGCATGACATTGCATTTGAAAAAACTCTCCTTTCTCCAAAACTTAGAAAACCATGTAGAGAACCTCAACAATTGAACTACCTCGTTAATTATATATTGGTCTCCTTATGCTGGTTCATGCTCTCTGACCGTAACTAACCTAATCGATCGTATATTGAGCTTCCTCCTTTTCTTTTTCTTTCTTTCTTTCACCTTAAGCTTAGAATGTTTTTCCCTCACCCCTAATAAATTGTAGCTTTCCCTTCATTTTCGTTGCCTTTGCATCCAAGTTGTATGCTTTCCTTGGGCCAAGCTGACCATCAGCTCGAGTCTCGAACACCGTTCGATTAGAAGATAGGTAAGGACGAGGAAAAAAATTCTAATCTAATGGCTGACTCAAGTAAAACATGTATTATTTTATACCTCAATCATTATATTAGAACTTTTTTATCAAACGGAATGTTTATATGAAATTACGATAATTTTATATGGAAAAATATTATCTATCTTTTTTCATTCAACACATTAAAATAAAATGACAATAATTAAGAGAAAAGAGAAGATATTAAATGAGTTTCATGGTCTCTATCGAATCAAAACAAATGTATGCATGAGTTGTAACCATACAGTTTGTTTTCTAGTTTCATTCTTTGATTCATGACCTTGAACAAATTAAACACAACTATGTCAACTCAAATCCCAATCAAATTAATGGAAAATTTCTCACAGTACATTTTTTTTAATTAATGAAAATTTTCTCACAATACATTTTTTTTTAACATAAGAGGTCATAACTTGTAAATAAAAAAAAGGATTGCAAGTGCTAGAATTCGAACTCTAGACCTATTAAATGACACATCTTAAAAGTGATTGCTTGAACTGACAAGGACGGATCTAGGATTTACACTTAGTGGGGGCAAAAATATATATGATATTAAATATATATAAGTAAATTAAAATGTATAAAAAAACTGCTTTATATATACATAAAAGTAATATATTACAATTATTCTCTTTGAGTTTTCATATTTTGAAAATGTTGTAAAATCTTTTCATTATCAATATTACGAAATATATCTTTCTTTATATATGTAGCCAAACAATCATTCATTTAATAATCTCCCATTCGGTTGCACAAACGGTTCTTCACAATCTTCATAGCAAAAAAAACTCTTTCAACTGATGCAATAGAAATTGGTAAAATTAAAGCTAATTTCATAAGTAAGCATATCAATAGATATACAAAATGTTTCTTTATCTCAACAAGTTTCATGGAATACTTTTCAAGCTTGTAAACTCATCATGAGATCTTAAATTAACAATGTAAGTTTCAAGTTTATTGTCAAGAATTAGTAGCTCCACATTAAAAAATTTAACTAGATAAAACTGAACAAGACAAATAAACTTTTTCTTATCAAAAGCTGTAAAAGAATCACAAAGATTTAAAAAAGTCACAGAAACAAATAACTTCATATTCACCTTATTAAAATGATTATTGAGCTCTTTAAGTTGCATATCAATTATTGTGTAAAACAACTCAACTCAATAATAATGTAAATTTGTCATTGTTTGAGCATTGCATCGAGGTCTTCTATGAGTTACAAAGATATCATCCATATTTGGGATGTCAATATTATTTTTTTCACAAAATAAAGAAACCTCTTATGCAAAAATTTCAATCCATCATCTTTCATCATTTGTAGTCATTGCTTTCCTACTCTTACTAATGCCATTGCATTCATAATATCTTGATCTCTCCTTTGTAATGCCAAGAACAATTCATTTGTAATCTCCAAGATATTTTCATCAAATGCAAGTTAAAAGCAAAGTCAAAAGATTGAGTTGAATCCAATAAAGCAGAAACTTCACCTTTTTGCCCCAAGTTATTCTCATCCTTCATAACAATTTCAAGCACATCAATAATGGAACTAAACATAATGATCAAATTTATTAAAGTCTCATAATGTGAACCTTATCATGTATCCTAGCTTGTTGAAGACTTATTTCTTGATTTAAACCTTTTCCCGTAAAAAGTTCATTGACTCGTAATGCCTCAACAACTTTATGAAGTTGTTTTTCTTAAAGAACATCTTTTTGTTTACATAAAGCCCCAACAATATTTACTACATTTGTTACAATGTTGAAAAGTAATGCAATTTGAACATGATTCTTTACCATAGCTACAAGTGTCAATTGAAGTTGATAAGCAAAACAATGAACATAATAATTAGATACAATATCTTTCATGATCAAAGTTTTTAATCTATTGAATTCATCTTGCATGTTACTTGATCCATCATAACCCTGCCCACGGATCCTTGACATACTCAAATTATTCTTAGAGAATAATGCTTCAATAGCTGCTTTAAATGACAAAGTGATTGTATTACTGACTTGTATTATACCTAGAATATGTTCAATGACATGCCTTTTAGAATCCACATAGCACAAAAGCAATAGCAGCTTGTTCTTTGATTGAAACATCATGAGATTTATCAAGTAAAATGAAAAATAATCCATCTAAAAGATCTTTCGTGATATTATTGATATTCTTAATTGCTATGGTACGAATAAAATTTTTTTAAATATCATGTGCTAACACTTTTAAATTTCCCGATACATTCTTCAAGATAACACTATTGATAGTTTTGTTATGACTGACAAAAAATCTAAAAAGCTCAAAAAAATTTTTTGATTGTGAAAATTTTTAGTTTCATCTCTATTACGAAATACTAAACTTGGACATAAGAGAAAGCAAATACAATCAAGTGTCGTAGTTAAGCGAAATTGATAATCTTTTCATGTTTGATTAAATTGTTTTGCAAAAGCAAATTGAATATGTTGCTTTTGATTTAGCAAATCTTGACAATACTTCCAAGTTTTGTTATGAGTACTATTAGGTCCTCCAACATAAACATCAAATCTTTCTTCCTTTTTCCCATTTGTAAATCCATTTGAAATAAAACAATCACTGACTGCTTGCTTTCTAATATCTGTTCTATAAAGATAACAACACAAACAAAAAGCGTCATCATTCTCTCTACTATATTCTAACCAATTAGCATATTCTTTAAACTATGTAGGAATAAAACGATGTAATGCTTTTCCAAGTTTTCTTTGGAGAAAATTATGTTCATAAGATTGATATGGACCTTTTTGCAAAGAAGCTCTTTGAACCTTATCTCTATCATTAATGTCATAGTCCTTTTTTTTTTTTTATAATCGAGGATCCGAAAAAAACTTATTTAAGTTTAATTCAACAAGAACTTGCTTTGTACAATGTTGTGTACCATTAGTATTGATTACAGATGATTCTTCAAAAATTAGCTTCCTTTTAATAAGATATTTCTTCATAACTAATTAACTTAAATAATTTAGTTTATGTAATTTATAAAAAATAAGAAAACATATTCAAAATACAATTATGCATGGAAATGAAGATCAATTGACTTTATATTTGAAATATATGAGTAGAAATGCAATTCACATATTGAATACATACTATCATGCAAGAAATTGGATAGAACTTTTAACTAGTTTTATACTCTACATATAAAAATTAATCTTTGGCAAACTTAAAAGTTAATTTAGCTAAAGGAGTAATAACTGAAAAGTAAAGCAAAATATAAAACACAAAAAACTAAAACATGATAAAAAAAATACATATTATCAATAACATAATCAAATTATTTCATCAATATAACAAATTTTAAATAGTAAATAAACACTCTATCACATTGACTTGTTGACTAATTATAAAAATATATAAAAAAAAATTACTTATTTGAATATCTTGTTGGAAGAAAAAAATAACCCAACTTGTAATTTGTTTCTTTAGTTTAGCGACTTTTTTTTCCTCTTTTAATTTCTTTAGTTTCTTTCTTTGATTCTCTTTGTTAAAAATTAGTGTTGCTTTCTTGGTTTGAAAAAGTAAAAGCTATAAGTGGAGAAAGAAGAGAAAAACCGATGATTTTTTTACAATCAATTCACTTGCCCTTTTTTTTTTTCTATAATAACTTTAAAATCTTTCTTTATTCAAATATCTATCATTTTCTAACTGATGCAATTTTTTACTTTTTACATATATCATATATTTTATTTTTAATTTCATTGGGGCATTATAAAGGAAATAAAAACTTTTAGCATTTCTATAATATATTTTTAAAGGGTATAAAGAGTTGCCTCCCACTATGCATCTATCACTACTAGCTGAATTAGGTTTCGAATTTTCACATAATACATTTTATTCATTATTATTTAGATTTTTTATTTAAATTTGATTTTTTGATTTCTACAATATAAGAATAAAGCTTTCTACTCAATAATCTAATTTTCATTTCCATGTTCATTTAGTGTGATTTCTACTTTTCTAGTACACACATTTCTTTGTCTAGTTCCTTTAAAGTATTTGTGGGCATGCACCTTTAATTTTCCATACACTTGTTTTGTTTGCCCACTATATTTTGTTCCTCACGATATCCTTTCCATCACAATTATACAACTCCTAAACATTACCCATTTCACATATTTAATTCTTTATTGTGTTAGCATATTACTTGGTATTGCATTCTTTCAACTCTTTTTGCCTATAAAGTACCATTGCTTTTGTTGTCTTTTAGGCCTAATTTGTATGTCACCGTAGCCGACCATCCATTGGATAGCAATGACAAGGCACACTAGAAGTAATTTCATCCATATGACTTTTCGAAGGAAAACTCTCTAGTGGTTAATTAGGGTTTTTTTTTTTCAAAAATATCTTGGGATAGTCGACTTCTCACCACGAGACAGTGTACTATCTCTTTTACTTTTTATTTTGATTTTTATTTAAAAATTATGAAATAATTTTATTATTTAATTTAATATAATAAATAAATTTATTATTATAATAATAATAATAAATAAGAATTATTATTATGAGCTAATAAATAATAAATTTTATTATTATACAATAAACTAATAATAAATAAAGAAAAATAAAGAAAAATATTATTTGAATTATTACTATTATTTTTATTAATTTTTAATTATTTTTAACAAAACTATTATTTGATATAAATTAATTTAATAGTTTTTTAATTATTTATTAATTTTATAAATGTAAAATAATTTTAAACTTTTATTACATAAAAATTTTAATTTAATATGTCCATTTTTTTCTCACTATAATTAACATCACCGCCATTGTTATCTTTACACTCAAATGTATATCTTTAGCACTAATTGAGTTAACCGCGTAACAAATCAAATTAAATTTGAGTATTTTAATATATATTTAACTTAAGAAATTATAACTTAATCAAGTCTTTAATCTTTTAATATATTTGATATTTATATATAAATAAATCATGGAGAATAAAATATTTAATGTTTATATTTATAATTTTATTAAAATTTTTAGCCGAACTCAAATGGTTTAAATAAATCACGAGTTAATCTCAAACATAAAAATAAAATTTGACCAAGATCGAGCTATACTTTTAAGTCTTGAGTTTTTAAATAAAACTGAAGTCAAACCTAATAATGTATTTACTCAATTTTATTCGATTATATCCGAGATAATTAAAGTGTTGGACTGAGAAGATAGTTTCGTATAACTAGATTTCCAGATTGAAATCTGTTGGGTCTCCTTTAGTTGCGCAACAAATAGCGGCGGGTAGTTTAGTGAAAACGGCTTCGTTGTGACCCGTGAGAGTGACTTTCGGAGTATTAAAATTCTAAAATCGAAAGCTGCATCATCGACCTTTACCTTAGCATTTGTGTTTGCACATTTTCTTGTTTCTTTAGCCACGGGAATTTCGCCCAAGTTTCAGATTAGGTTCTCCGTTGGAAAATGGAAAATTAAAAGGATTTGCAGTTGTTTATTTATTCAAAAAGCAGAGTTCAAATCCTCTTTTTCTTAGTAAAAGGAAAAGATTAATCGTCCTACAACGTGTGAGTTGTGCAAATAAAATCTTCAAACAAATGCCTTTTTGTTTGTAATCCAAAATATGATTATACATTCCATCCTTAAAGGGCAATAACAAATGCTAAATCAAGTTTAGATTTGGTAAATAAATGCTCTTTTTCTATTCAATGATTACCTAAATGGTATGGTTTCGTCAGTCCATTTCTTTATAAACAATACTAATGCTTTAAACAATAAGTGTTGAATCCAAAATATAATTTAAATTTTAAAATTTATTTTTATTTTCAAATTACGTTTCGTTTGTAAATAAATGCTAAGAGAAGGGCTTATAGCAAAATTGAATGAATCAAGAATTGGCTTAAAAGTTAAGCAACATTTGGCATGTATCAAATCCAACAGTTATTGTCACTTGAAAAGGGATTTTTATCAATGAATTCAAACAAGAATCCGTAAATTTAGATTGTTGAAATTGCCGAGTAATTCGTGTCCACTTTTTGATGCTTTCTAATATGCTTGGAGACCACGTTTATCATCCAACAAGTAACCCTCAACTTTCTTTGGATTTTCACGCCAATCCGTAAACCAATTATCAACATTCTTTCAAGCAAGAATGTAATAGAATAAGCTAATAATTTAACTCTTTCCATGTCCCCCTTCTTTCCTTTATTTGATTATTAATGGAGACCAAAAAGATGACAAATTCTCTTCCATACTTTCTACTTTTTTTTTTCTTTTCTTTTCCCTTTTATATATATTGTATGATGAATTGTACATGTGAAAATATAGGCAAAGATGGTAAGGCCTGTGATTTTTATGATAGGTCAGGACTTCCATGGTTAACAATTAAAGAGGTTAAAATACAGTGAGTATAAATAAATTTTAAAATATTATTTACCAAATTTAATAAATAAATAAAAATAAAATCTATTGAAAAATTATTCATGAATCCAATATTTATTCTCTGACAACAACTTAATTCTTTTTTCTGTGGGTTTCTTGCATGCAAATGGCAAATTTTTTATTATGAGTTTTTTATTTATCAGCCCAATGAGGATTCTCAAGTGGGGACCCTGCTTGTCTAAACTTACCGTACAAGTGCAATTCAGCCAATACATTGATGACAAGTGTCATCATGCTTCGACCGACATTGCAGTGTATTACCAAAAACAAAAAACCCGAAGAATCATTAATTTTTGATTGCAAATCATCCCTAGATAACTTGCAAGCTTTGGGGTTGTGGGGCCTCAAATATGACTCTCTCGGGTCACATCTTGGCCCCTATCATGACCGACTGATTTTACGCGTTACCAAAAAAAAAAAAAAGTTAAATCATTATGCCAAATGACCCTTTGCATGATAACAATTTAAGAACCCCAAATTCATGTCTCAAATTAGAGAATTTAATTCCAACAAAAAAAAAATGGAAATCCAAATGTAAATCAATGGCCCAAATCACTAGTCAAAAGAAAGGTTCATCACCAATTATGGTACTTTACTTCATCATACCATTCCCCTTTATGTTACTTTATTCCTCTAACAGAACACACCAAAACAATTTCTGAACTCCGAGAAGCATCAATCTGAATTCCCACATAAAATCCAAATATAATAGCGACTGTTCCTATCTCTCTCTGTCCTTCAAATTTGTAATATAATAATAAAAAATTACTAAAAGACTGGAAATCCAAGAAAAAAGTGACAAAAAACTTGCATGTCTGAGAATTTATAATATTTGCATGGAAATATGCAGATTATATAAAGTACTGGAGAAGGAAGAAGTTTCTTTATAAATAACAGGAAGAAATGAGAAACTTGGCCTCAAAGCCCACCGCCCTTTGATCCCTTTCTCTCTCTTTTACTTGTGCTTTATCAGTTTTGATTCTCTCATCTCTCTAAACAAAGAAGCAAAGCATCCCCTCTTAAAAGCCTCCACATTAACTTGCTTTCCCTTGTAAGTATCAACCTTTGCTTTTCTCAGAATGCAGCTTCTGCTTTTATGTTATCTTCAACATTAATCAAATATATATTTTTCTGTGCAAAAACATTTCTAAAGTTTGGGATCTCAGGCAAAAGCCTCATGCATTAGTTAATGAGATCAAATTCAAACTTGGGCAACTTTTGTTTTTGGATTTTCCATTGGTCTATTTCTTCTCTGGTTGTTTTGTGTTAATAAATACTGTATCAGAAAACTATAACTAATTTCGTTTCTTCTTAGACTTCTCTTAAATGTGGCATGTCTTTCATTCTTTGTTTTAAGCTTTTTAACTTTATTTTTTTATTGATTTGTTATTTAAATTGTTCCATAAACAATTTTGAAATAGTTAGTATGTTAAGATCATTTTTTTGAAGCTCTAATATCATAAGACTGCTCTGTTTTATGGGTTTGTTTCAGGTTTTCTAAAATTTAATTCAGTACTAAAAGTTGTTTGTTTCATCAGGATTCTCTAAACGTTTTCGGTTGTTTCATGCAATTCATGTTCCCTACTTCGTTCAGGAAATACTTTCCTTTTCCTTCAAGAAATCATTCACCATATTTTCATGACTTATTTTAGATTCATTGAAGAATTTTCCATTATTTTCCTGTATTGATGCTTTTTTATCACTTCATTGTGTTTTCAAAACCAAGTTTCTGTTCATCTTCTTATTCTTCTTTTCTTTTCTTTTTTGTGAAAGAATTTGAACACAATAAACCCATTTTCAAATTCATTCTTTGGCAAAAAACAGAGAAGTGATTAGTTGCTCCACCATGAGTTCTTTAACAGGAGGAGGAGATTCTTGGCAACCAGCCATGACTGGCAACACAACTACCTCAATCTACTGGTTCAATTGGAGGGTCTTGCTTTGTGCCATTTGGGTCTTAATTACAGCAACTTTTTCCTTGACTCTTATATGGAAATATGAAGGTTTCCGTAAATCAAATCACGATTATGGAGAAACTCAGCAAGAAACAGCAGGATCTCTTCATGAGGATGAGGCTTGGAGGCCATGTTTAAAAGGAATTCACCCTGCTTGGTTGCTGGCTTTCAGACTTGTTGCTTTCCTTGTGCTTTTAATATTGCTAATTGTCACTACTTTTGTGGATGGAGGCAGCATATTCTACTATTATACTCAGTAAGCTCTCCTTTCCTTTGGACTAAACATATTATTTTGTGACCAGCTGCAGAATTTGATGTATGACTACAGGGAAGGGAAAGTTCTTTTTCCTCTTTAATTAATGTATGGAAAGTTACTTTCATATATGAAGCAAGCTGAATTCCTGCTGTAACCTTCAAGTAGTGTATGCTTGTCTAATGAGATATAAGATAATTTCCACACAACAATGGTCTTTCAAGAGTTGCTTGCATTGCTAATTTAAGGATTTTGAAACGGATATAGTATAGTCCATTTTCGTTTCTTGAAAAAAGAAAATGAATTTCTGAATTGGTGTTGTAGTAGTTCTTGAGTTTTGATAAATTGTCATTGTCATTGTCATTGAGGCTCTAAATTACATGGCTAGTCTAGGGAAATAAATAAAGTCTGTCTCATTATTACCAATTCAACTTATTTAATTAATGAAGTATGGGCTCAACTAATTTCCGAGTGTTTTTGCTTTTTCCTTGTTCTGTGCAGGTGGACTTTCACATTGATCACCATTTATTTTGGGGTATGCTTTATGATCTCTTTTATGAGATTTTATCTGTACAATTATGTATCTCTACAGCAATGCTCATTCTTCTGCCTTTCCATTCGTTATTGACTTATTTATCTTGTGTTTCATCTGCAGCTGGGATCATTGCTCTCCATGCGTGGATGTTACCAATACCACAAAACAGTTAGCGGTGACAAGGTTGATAACGTAGAGTTAGATTCAGAGCAAGGATGCAATGCAAGTGAAGAAACCTCAGCAAAAAACCCTGAGTGCCCGGAAGAACAGTCTGTTCGCCAACCTGCAGGCACTTGGGGTTATGTATTTCAAGTAATTTTCCAGGTATATTACTTTCAGAAGAACAATAACTTATCTCTCCTTGGAGTTATTCTCTTTGTTTTACCTCTAGCACTTAAAGGGAACTTCTTTGAAGGATTTTGCCTGGAAGCCTATTTGACATATGGCATACATTAGCTGGTTTGCTTCCTAGGGTTGGTGACATAGTTTTTCTTGTGAACAGATGAATGCAGGTGCAGTTTTGCTGACGGATTGTGTTTTTTGGTTCATAATTGTCCCATTCCTTGCAATTAAAGACTACAATTTGAGTGTTGTAAGTATCGCATTCACTAATATCTTAAGCCAACATGAAAACCAAGTTCATGAAATTAGATCTAGTTAGTGGCTATATCGTTAGATTCTTTGTAGAGAGTGCCACGGCATAACAAACCAAACCATTGCCGTGCTCAATCTATTAAAGAAAGCGAAAGAATAGAGCATTTCAAAACTACACAGTTTTTGTTTTTCTTCATTGTTCTGCGTATCACGAGGTGGGGAAAATAAAAGGCCTCAGTATTTTGTCAGTTTCTTTGATTCTCACTTGCACAATTTTTTAATCTTTTGGTGGCAGCTGGCTATGAATATGCATTCTATCAATGCTATTTTCCTCCTTGCTGATACTGCTTTGAACTGCTTGGTAAGTTGCCCTACTCAAAGTCGAATTTCGAAGACTGATAGTTGCCAAATCTTTCCATTATTTTATTGTTAATTTTTGCTTATTTGTCTCATTCAGCGCTTTCCTTGTTTTCGGATCGCATACTTCTTCCTATGGACAGTGGTCTATGTTATAATCCAATGGCTTCTTCATGCTTGTGAGAATGTTTGGTAAACCCATTAACCCTTATCTTTCTCTGGTGGGATACAATGTTCATTTGTCATTTGATTAATGTTAATTTCAATTATTTTAAACAGGTGGCCATATCCATTTCTTGATTTGTCATCTTCATATGCTCCCCTATGGTACAAGAAACCATATTTTATCTTTATAATTCTCAACAATATGTTTTTGCTAAGCATCTAGACATATTTATCTAATCTCATCTCTGATTGGGGATTTGAAGGTACTTTTCAGTGGCATTGATGCATTTCCCATGCTATGGTGCCTTTGCTTTGGTTGTAAAGCTGAAGCACCGTGTATTTTCAAGATGGTTCCCTGAGTCATACCAGTGTATGAGGTAACTTGGACTGACAGGTTATGCAGACAATTTGATTAGAAGGTCTTGACGAAAAATCTAATTTTCCTACAGAAGATAGAGAAATGTAATAGAGTTTGAAATGTCAGATATAACATAGTAAACTACTGAATTCTTTGTATCAAAAATTCACAAAAAGTTGATAAGTGGATCGAGTTTTGGAAGATGCAAGGTTGCCTAGCAAGAAAGCAGGCAATCTTTTTTTTATACATCCATGTTAGAGGAGTTGTGTAGCTTTAAGTTGTAACTACTTACACATATTCAAAGCAAATTTAAAGAAAATCTCTTATTCTCTTTGAGTACTTCAGATTTAGTGCTATGATGTTGTTCAACCTTCTGACAGGTTCTATATCCAAAGATTTGGACAGCTGAAATTGGAAACTGTCCCAAATCATTATCAATCTATAAGAGCAGGAGAAAGAAAAATGAAAAATTGCCAAGCAGCTTTCTTTCTAAAGGGCATCATTCAACTTGTCTAGTCTAACATTTGATTGCAGTCTAAAGAGCAATATCAAACTAACTGATAGATTTTCCTCTCCTGGTCTGGGCCTACCTTTTTACCTTTAAGTCTATCTAGTGGGGCATGATCTGTCTAGGAAAGAAAGAATCAAAGACGGCGAAGCATAATGACATGGTTCCACTTTGTGGATGCTGACTCAGGGAAAGGAAACAGAGCTCTTCTATAATACGTTGCTGTTTTTGAATGATGTTTTCACCTTGATAACAAGAAGGGCAAAAAGGAGAAAAGAAATTAAAGAAATGATCACCGACAGCTTCAATTTCAACTACAAATTGCAACCATTCTTCATATTAAAGAATTCTAATGGGCAAATCAAGAGCCTTTTTCATTTATCCTAACAACTTATTAGGACCTTTGCTTTGGTTTAACATTGAATAATAATATATTGGCATCAGCTGGTTCATTGGAGCTTCTAACATTGCTCCAACTTTAGTCAACAAATCAGTTGGTTCTTTACCATACATGGCCTTGGGGATCATGAAGAATTTTCGTGAGCAACGATATCATAATTAGGATTATTTGTATTAAAATTTGAGACTTGCAACCAACTAAACTAGTGAGGGCTTTAAAAAATTAGAAAAATTTTATATGTTCATCAAATTTTGCATATTCTCTCCTCGAAGGTCACTTTGTTGCGGCTAATGTTGTAAGATTGCAAGCCTTTACAAGGATTAAGGAAAAACAATCAAATGCTCCAAATATAGCATCCAATTGTAATATAAAAAAAAAAGATCTCTCAAACTATGGTACATCATTGGTAGCTTTATAAATCTATTAATTCCAAATGTAATCAAATTTTCTACCTTAAGCACAAACCAGTAATAAAATATTAGTGCAGCAGAATGTTCATGATGTTGTTGTTGGAAATTTAATCCATAAATAAAATGATCGTGTAATTCAATTAAAATAATTAATGTGCATTGGATGAGTGTCAAATTGATTAGTGCTTAAGTAATTAATCAAAATCTAAAATCATAAAGGATCTAATATCTTTTGACCCAATAACATTAATTAAATTAACTGAAATCTAATTAATTGTGGAAAAATTTCCAAAACCGTGTGAGACCTTATGGTCTTGGACTATGTAAAGTTTATTTATATATAATTTAAATAAAACAATAAGCCATCAATGTTCGTCGATTTGTGTAATAAAAAATTTGATTTTTTTAAATAAAGTTTTAGTTTTGAATTTTGTAAATGAAAAAAATAAATTTGAAAAAAATTATCGTTTTATAAGTTTGATCCAACTTAATTCTGAATTAATCGAAACTTAAAATGATTATCAAATATTAAAAGATTTCAAACAAAAATAAATAAATAAAACAAAAAGCATGTTACCCTGTGAATTAAGAAGTTAGCGAGCGACAATTAATTTTGAAATTTTTTAGAAATTTGTTTCTAACCTTTTAACGCAATTAATTTACTTTTTTTTTACATTATTTTTATTTTTTATGCACTTTTGAATAATTTTAATTTAGGCTCATTTGTTACGTAAAAAATAATTTTTATATTTTTTAATATTTGTTTGACAAATTAATTGATCAATAAAAATGAAATATTTTATGGATATGCATTTTCGTATGTACTATAAACCAAAAATAAATGAATCTTGCTTAGGGATAAAACAATAATTTCAACAAGGATCATTAAGTAATCTTACTAATGGATTTTTTTTTCATAAAATTTTTTTTTTATTTTTTTGTGAGTGGAAAGTAAAAATATAGGTGCATTTAGAAGCTTTTTAATTTTTTGAAAATTGTCTTCCCTTCTTAAAAATGGGAAGACAATTTCGAAAAGAATTGTTTATGGATAAGGATATTTATCAATCTTGTAAGAATAGTTCTACTCAAATCGGACTTCAATATAATTTTTTAAGTTCAGTCTTAATTTGATTCAATTTGAAATATTATCATATTAATAAAAAATATTTTTATTTAGTTTTAATTAAAATATTAAAATATTAATATTAAAAGTCTTTTAATATTGTAATTTTAAATATTTTTATATTTTTACTCAAGTCGGATTTTGGATATAATTGTTTAAGTTTTGGCTTAATTTGTTTTGATCTTAAAAATTATTATATTAATAAAAATAATTTTATTTAATTTTAATTAAAAAGTTTTAATATATTTTGTATTTTTATCTTATTAAACATAAATAATTTAATATTTCATAATAGGTAGTATTATATTATTTTAATAATAAATAATAAATATTTATATTGTAAATAATATTTCTTATTATTTAATAATTAATATTATTTAATACAATATTATTATTTTAATAATATTAACATTTTTAATCATTTCTTAATTTTTTTTCAATTTAAAATATTTTATTTTTATATTTTAATGACACCTGTATTTATATTACTATTTTAATAACAAATATAAATAAATAATACTTTTGTAATGATTTATTATTAAATACTGTCAATATAAAATACAATTATTTTAAGAGTTAAATATTTTTAATATTTAAATAATAAATATTAATAATTTTACTATTATTATATTAATAGAAATAATATTTTAAAAGAAGTAATAGTATTTTAAATATTTTAAAATATGAATATAAATAGTCTTATTTTAATTATTTATTATCAATATTAAAATTTTAATATTAAATATTTTGATTAAAATGTAATTATTTTTTAATATTAATAATTTTAATAATAAATAATTTTTAATATTTTAATAATAAATATATTTTAATATTTTAATAATTATATAAATATTATTTTTTTAAAAAAATAACAAAAAAATTTTCATTGACTAATCTATTTTTCAAAAAAAATTATTTAATATACTGACAATAAAATTTTTTAACTCTACAAGAGAGTTAAGATGATAACTCATGTCCTACTTCTTCTTTTAAAGTATTATTATTTTAATCTCGCTTGTAAAATTAAAAAAATTCACTATTAATATATTTGATAATTTATTTTTAAAAAAATATACATTTTTCAAAAAACATTTCTAAAACTTATTTATGCAAAACAAACAAAACTACGGTTTACAGCTTCCTTAATCTTTACTTTGCATTTAAGTAAGTTCTCATGTTGTATCTCAATAAATCCTTAAATTTTAATTTGTATCTATATAAATCTTTAATATAAATCAATTTTTTGTTTGAAATAAAAGCATATTTGGATACAATTTAAAAAATAAAAACTTGAGTAAAATAAAAGTTTATTTAAATAAAGTAAGAAAGTTTAGGGATTTTAACCTAATGGAATTAAGGAGCTCACCTTAGAATTTGATCATATCAAATATGGATTAGTTCTGATTATTCGGATAATAGAAACCAAGGTCCCACAAATAAAATCCCAAACGTCAAGTCAAAGTATCAAACTGCATGTACAAAGCATACCATACAGGGGATCACAAATAATTGCTTGGCAGAGAACCCATCAAAATGATATTTTCATTGTCCTTGTGGTCCATCCCTTCTGCCTTTGTCCTTGAAAAAAGTCCAGAGAGGAAACCCACAGGTAACCCAGAACTTGACCTCTTCCCTAACAAGTCCAATGCTCCATTTGCCCCACGGATTAGACTATTTGAATGCCTCGTATCCTCATCTGCTGTAAGTAGTGCCCCACAAGGACAGTTTGCAATCTTTTTAAAGCAATGCTTATGGAAAACTGACCCACAGGATATACACTTTTCAATCTCACCTTCCTGTTAAATATTTAATGCCTTCAGATTGTAACAATGAAACCAATAATGCACAACTTTTTAGCTTTCTCAAGCAAAAAATGTAGTAAATATACTACTTTTTTTCTTTGCTACCAGAGGAAACTATACAGCATGTGTACAATTTGTAATGCTCAAGCTCAATGGTTCAGGCATTATTAACAATCCCAACTACAAAGATCATGGCAATAAAGACATCAGGATTATAAGAAAATTCTTATGGAAAAATTCATCTTGGAGCAATTGATTAGCTAGATAGTAAACAGCAATAACCGATAGGATGTATACTGACCTGAAAAGGAAAGATGAGAAATGATGGGTCATTACACGACTGGCGAGCACTGCAGGGGACTCCCACATCACAGCATATGAGGCATTGCTCTACGATATGCTCCCGAATTTTCCTTGATACAGTTTCCACCATCATAGGAAGAGCTGACATGAGAATTGATATATTTACTTCAGAGTCAAACCAACATAGAGAAGAAAGCCAAAAGCATGAAGGGGAGTACTAGAAAAAACATTAAATTTAAATCCTATGCTGCCAATTCAAAAATGAAACTGAATAAAGCTAGATAAAAGTGGAATTCCTCTTTTATTTCTCAAGCGATACATAGAATATGTTATATGAAGACTTCACTATCAGATAGGGGAACAGACAAACATTACTTTTAAAACATTTAACAGTCAAAAACTTCAAATTTTAGTTGTTTGTGTCTTTTTTTTTTTTTTTTTTTTTTGTAATTTTGCAGGTCACAGTCTTCCCAAAGGTGGCATTCTGCCTGCCCTTGTTGAAGCATATAGATTCAAAATAACAACCTCTAAATAGAAAGTGAATCATATAAAGTTCAGTAGAAAAAGAATCGGATAGATTCAATTTTTAGACAGATTTTTTCATGATTAGATAATCATAAATTCCAGCCTACCAAGGTTTCATGCTTTATAAATCATCACTGTTTCCACTAAGCACCAACTGTCTAACCCAACTACCATCACCATCATATGTGTGTGAGAGAGAAACCGCACTGATCTTAAAAGAAAACTAATAAAATACTCATAAACAGCTTATGGGGCAGTTTGCTTTTCATCCATTCTGTAGCCATGATTTATAAGGCAAAATAATAGCATAAGCAACAAAGCCCTCAGGGAAGGAGTAAACCACTAATATATTTAAAGCTGAAAATGCAATACAGTAACCTCCAATAAAAACCAGATGCTTGTGATGGGAAATTAACCTGCAAAAGCTCCTTTGGAAAGATCAATGAGATCCCTAAGTGCAAAAAAATCATTGCTTTCTAGAAGATATCTTCGAGATCCAAGTCCTTTGTTGATTGACATGCGAAATGGACAGCGAACATATGGAAGCATATTTCCTATTTTTTTCCTGATGCCCATAACATGGTGCAGGGCTGGAACTTTCGAAAACAGGAAAGGATTAACTGCACTAACACAAAGCATGGGCTACAAAAAGAAAAAAAAATAGTAGTTTTGTTAAAACACCTGGCTTGACCTTAAGTATTGATTAAGTAAACATTTGGGAGATTAAAGTTGCACCTAAAAGAATTTCATTAAATGCATACAAAAGTCTGAATATAAACAAAAACTGCACAACAGATCCTGGTTGGGTGAGGAAGGAAGAAAATTCAAGCGCAGAGCCAATGACCCTAAAATAATTCTTGGGCTTCCTACCCAAAGCGATTTCAAGATCCATTGGAATATAATGAGAATCCATGTAAATCATGTTATGACCTTATCTTTAAATTTTGTTAAAAGTATGAAGAAGCAAGACTAAGGGAATTGCATTTTGAAGTAGGAGTAAAGATATCTACCTGAATGCACTAATTTCCATCCTGGATGGGCATATGCAAAACAATGCCTAATCCCGGTTGTCTTTAACATGCAATTCACCTATACCTAGATCCTACAAACATTTCATAAAAGCACCACAGTCCTTACCTGGTCATGTATAGAATCCAGATATGACTTAGCCAATTGAGAAACTGGATATCGAATAAAATCCCAATGATGCAACACTCTTGCTGGTAAGACTGCCATCTCATTTGTGTGACAGGAAGAACAAAACAACTGGCCAGTGTACTCACAAAGTCTAGGCTTTCCCCATCCAAATGATTGGACCAAATCTTGCATTAGAGTCATTCCATCATCAAAATGTTTGTGGCATCCAGCACAAGTGTAATGTTGAGCTTCTAAAATCTGTTTCATTGATTTAGGTGGTCGAATTTCGACAATAAGCGATATAGTCTTCCCTAAGGGAGAAATATTTTGTGTATCTTGCCCTCTTGAAAAATATGTAGACTGAGACAACAGGTGATTTGGTGGAGAGCTGCCAGGAAATGAATCTTGAGGAGACAAAAACCAAATCAATGCAGTTGGAGGACTAGAAGAAAACCTGGAATGTATAATGGAACGTAAACATTCTTGAATAAGAATGCTTCTTTCAGCAATAACAACAGGAGATGCATTCCCAAATATCTTTCTAGATTCCCTTTCTACAGATGACCAGGGAGGAGGAAGAATCCAACCTTGTTCAGAGAATAATGATTTCAAGCGACGATGGAGAGTACAGAAATCGCGGTATCTGCGTTCAACCTCCCAATGGTCATTGCCACACCACACTCTTATCTTATACACAGTGTATTCCTTGACCCCAACCAATCTTTCACTAAGGGAGACGTCTCCTTTCTTCTGCTTTGCGCCCACCACTTCAACACCATCTATTCTCAGCACATGTGCAGAGCGTGGGTAAGCATCATCTCCACCTGAAGTAGAAGCAGTTGACCCTCCATCTCTTAGAGGTACGGATAACTGTGATTGAAACATCCTATTGCCCTGAGAGAACATGAGTCCGGGAGAGTCAACAGACTCAAGCAAAATTTCTTCCATGTCATGAACAACCTCATCATAAAATTCGTTTAGCTCATGATTCTCCACCTGCATGATGTAGGGGATGGACAAAGAAGAATATTAGCATTTTAAAAAGCAATTTACGGGAGCACACTCACAAGGTTGATAAGCACTTAACAACACATAAGACAGTTGATCAATCACAAAGTCAAAAGTAGGTGGCACATCAATTTTGATAATAAACCATTACATAAATTGATGCATTCTCTGCTTAGGGAGCTCACTCCCAGCTACATCGCACAGAATGTTAAGTCTGTAGTCAGTACAATTAACAAAGTTCAATATACCACAACATTAGACAATTAACAACTATGGTAAGAATCATAGTCAGTTAGTTAATGCTGCAGCACATCTTAGAGCTTTCCACAAGTTTACCACTAAGTTATTATCCCAATTGAGTTGAGCAATGCATCATCATGCTTCTTGACCAAAGTATCCAGCCACCCAATAGTTTAAATAAGACAAATAAAACAAAAAACTTTTCCAGCCAGACCAAAATGATTTTGTCTAAGTTAATATTCATTCACTTTACTAGCAAATATGTATAAACATATCTAGCTGACATTTGCAATCCATAAGCAAATGAAAATCTTAACTAATCCAAAGTAATTAGGATACTAGCACCTGAAAGAAGAAAATTTACAAGTGAATCACCTTGGCTGGTCCAGAATGCTCTTCAAATACATCTGCTGGCACTGGGAGATTCTTGAATGTACTGCTCACAATACTTTCACACGTAGATGTAGGTGAATCTGGTTTGCCATCGTCAAACAGCTCTGCATTTATTTTTTGAGGAGAGTGTAGTGGATGGACACAACCAGCAAGGGGATCCAATTCTGCTTTACACTTGCCAATTTCCTGTCTTTCAGATAATTTACTCTCATCAGCAGCAGTCATTTCCTTAACATCAGAAGATTGATGCTGCCTTACCCTATCCACAACATCCAAACCTATCTCCACAGGAGCTTTTTCTACAGGAGGATCCTGCTCCATTGCAAAGACATCAGTAACAGAACAAGTTTCTAGATACTTCATGTCGTCATTGGCATCTTGGTGTTGATTTTTAGTAGCAGGAATATATTTCACATACTTCTCTTCCTCATGACCCCTTCGAGAACCCACTGCAATGACCAAAGAATTTTTTGCCTCTTCTACTAAATCATCAGCTACTTTTTTTTCATAACTCACAACAGGAATGTCTTTCACTTCTTCTACAAGCTTCGATTCACCTGAACTTGAAAAATAAATAGGAAATACACCGACATTCTCTTGTAATTCATCCCTACCTTGAAGTTTTTCCCTTGTGATGGATGCATCTAGTACGAAAGAAGTCAGATCATCCGAGCCCGCTTCTAGCTCAAAATCATCCCAATCATTGGCACCAAACGTCACAGACGAATTAATCCCCAAAGGATTCTCGTTCACATTCTTACTCTCATTCTCATTTGTATCTTTCTTCCTATAATAATAATAATAATTATTCCTAAACTCATCATCATCCGTCCCATGGTTATACATCGAATCTTCCCCTTCTGAATGCTCATATCTCGATGAATTCCCATCTTCCTCCCTTAACTCCGTATTCAAACATGATGAACTACCTTCCTCAACACTTTTAACATTAACAAATCTCCTTTCTTCTTCGATTCTGTCTTTTGGAAACTCAATTCTCCGATTGGATGGAACTTTCCCCTCCAAACTGAAATTCTCAAAATCATCATCTAATGAGAAACCACTAATACTCCTCACTGACCCGAACTCAGATTCTCCGAAACAATCATTAAATGTAGCTATTGAACTCGGCGTTCCAAGCGCCGAGTTCGCGCTGCAATAGCGTTCGAACTCGGATTCTCCGCAAGATGAATAGTGCGGCGACGATGTCATCGAGAATTTTAATCAAACGAATCGACGGTTGTGATCCGATTTACGAGAGCGAGAGAGAGAGAGAGGGAGAATCAGAGATTAATCTGTTGAATCCGATCTGATAGAAATAGAAAGGGGTGATGTCAGCTTAGGGTTTGGTTTGATTAACGTCAAGAGTGGAGTAATCGGAAAGCGTCAAACCGGAGAGGATTGAGAAACTGAAATGAAAGATTTTGACTGACCGTTATGCCGCCGGGGCTTACAGTTAGAGACAAATCAGATTTCTGGAGGTGTGCGTGACTTTGAGATTTTTGTTTTGTTTGATGTCAAGGCAACCGCGTGTGATTCGTAAAATGAGAAATGGCATGAATATTGATGAAAAATGTTAATTTTCTTTTTTTTTTCTTCTTCCATCTATATAAAAGTAGCGTATATCACACCAATTATAATTTTTTAAAAAAAGTTTTTTTTTCCACTATTACATGATTTACTTTGGACTACAAATGAATACATAGTACAATTTATATATATATATATATATTTGGATAAATTATATTTTATTTATTCAATCAAGTAAAGTTTTGTTACAACTATCTGTCTTTACAATTAACTAACAGTCTTATTTTAACCATAACGATAGAATCGAATCAAATATTAAATTATTCAAGATTTTGAATTATTAGGTTAATAGTTTAACCATTAGGTTAATGAATCAATTGTCAATTTAATAAAAAATATTATAAAAATATAAATATTTTAAAATTTTAAAATTTAAATTTTTAATAAAATTATAATTTAATAATTCAATCATAAAATTATAGATTTTAAATATAAAATTTATAGAACAATTAATTACTAATCAAAAACAAAATTACTTAAAATTTTAGTAAAATCATATTTTATATTTTAATAGTTAGAAATAATATTATATTTTAATAAATAGAATAAATAATTATTATTTATATTTATTAAATATAAATATTAGTTATTAATATATAATAATTAATTTTTATGTAATAAAAAAGAAATATCTATATATAAAATTAATAAAAAGAAAATATTTATATTTATATGAAAATTAATAAAAAGAAAAGTAAAATCATTTTTATATTTTTTATATGAATGTAGATTTTTTTATTAATTTTACATATATAAATTTTCTTTTATTAATTATTTACTATCATAGTCAAGTGATTAATCGTTTTTATTAATATTTTATTTTTTATTAGTTTTATATATTATTATTTTTATAATTATTTTTAATTATGGTATCAATTAAATTAATAAAATTTTTTGTTAGATAATATTTTTTTAAAAAAAATTATTTATTTTTATAAATGTATAAGTTTTTTTATAATATCATTATCTACGTGTCTCAAAATATGCCTACATATTATTAATATAATGATGCAAAAACTTTGATAATAAAAATAAAAATTGAGGGGTTTATTTAGATAAATAGTAGTATAATAGTTTAATTATATTATTTTGAATATTTGAAGGGTTTTTTTTTTATATTTTAACTAAATTTATTAGTTGGTATTGAACCAGTTCAGTTAAAAAAAATTATATGATTTATTGGTTTATTATGTAAACTGTCAGTTTACAACGATTTAAAACGATTTAATTGTAAAACTGATCTAATTATAAAATCGAACTGATTTCAACATCAATTCACCCAATCGAATCGATAGTCCAATCCGATTCAAATAACTATAATTCTAACGTAGCCACATTAAAGTTTCAAATATCACATAACTCTTTACATAACTCTTTATTGATTGTATCTACAACAATATGACTCGACCCTTGTAATTGCATTCAAATAGCATCTTTAATTCGATTTTATATATATGTTGTTGTCTCCTCTTTTTGCTTGAATATCTTGGCTAGTCTCAAAATGATGGATATCAATGTTTTTGCCTTCAATCTAATTGTTGCCCAATGTAATTATAAACCCTAATTCTCCACTATTCTGCGAATTTTGCAAAATTGAAGCAACCGTTGCCAAACTTCTTTTGAGTAGGCACAGCCAAAGAACATACGATCCCTTGTTTCTGCTTCAGTTTTGCATAACTAGCACCTGTCATCAGTTTCCATTCCCATGCTCTCAGCCTATCTTTGATTGATAGTCAATTCATTATAACCATTTAAGAGATCAATGAATGCTTAAAGATATAGTATGTGAACCATATTAGCATGTGCCATCTGACATTTTCTTAAGCCTAAGGATCATTCACGCAATAGCAATAGAATAGCTATTATTTGGAAAAAGCTAAACTTCTACTCTATTTTCCAACTTAATGAACTGCCAAGCAATTTGCCTTAGTTGCAACAATTTCTTCCAACTTCAGTTGCTGTTTAGCTGAATTGGAACTTGCCCGACACTTCTTCCTTTTATAGCATAAGCATTAGCCATGCAATCCGTAATGAACTAGCCTTTATGAAAATGGACCATATGTTATTCAAGAGCAAGCTTGATTCTTGGATATTAAATCTTTGAATCTTAATCATCTTTCCAATTTAAGATAACAAATTGCTTTCCAACTAACATTGGTTCCTTTAGCTGTTTTTGTTTTCCTGTTCCATAAAAAGGCTGGTCAAAGTTGGTTAATCTTCTTTACCAAATGCTTAGGCAAGATAAAATGTCTACACCAATAATTCTGCATTCTGCCAGCATATGAAAATTGTTTTGTAACCCAACTTTTAATTCTAACTGTAAACTTTTCTATCAATGAAGTGCAATCTTTTTTCTACGAGTCATCTAGTGATCAATAGGACGCTTAAATATCTGATTGGAAGTGTGTCAATCCTAAATCAAGAAGTTGGAAATGGCTAGTAATTCATGTCTGTCAATTCCAGTATGAAATAGCTTACTTTTTGCATAATTTAGTTACAGTCTTAAAAATGTGTAAAATGCTTGCAGCACCTCTGTCACCCCATCTCTTATATTTTTTAATTGAGCTGAATAAATAATTTTAATAAAAATTTAATATTTATTTAATAAATAAGTTGATCTAAAAAAGTTATACATAACTTTTCATGAACAAATTTATTTGTCTCAGTTATAAGACTGTTTATCGATTAATTAAATACTAATTTACAGTTCATCCATTGTTCACAATAATAAAATAATGATATTATTATATTCTATCATTATTCATTTTATTGATATATTTATTTATATTTATATTTAATTTTTTAAGATATTGTTTTTAAAATGATAAACTTGTTTAATTAACTTATTTTTTAAATTTTATTTTAATATCATTTATTTATTTATTTATTTATGAACAGTTGTTTTATTCACAACTATATTTAATTATATGCTCTTAAATATATTTATTTCATATTCATAAATAAAATCATTTAATTTAAATAAATTATTTACATAATTATATCAAATTTTAAACAAATCGAACTCGAACATTATGTCAAAAAATTTAGTGACTAGGAATTGATCTTAAACAACTTTAAAAATGAACAAATGATCATAAATAGAACCAAATGGCTCGTTTACAGTCCTTTGGCTTTCTTTTTTTTTTTTTTTAAGAAATAAGTTATCATTTAAAACTTCATCCTAAAATAACTTTTTAAAATCCTAAAAAAATTATTTCTAGCTCATATAATATAGTATTTTTAAAAATATTGTTTCAAATTACGAATTAGAAAATTTGAATTGCAATTTTTGTTTTAAAGCATAAATATAGCATTTAAAGTGTTTTTGTCGAAATTTGGTAGATGTATAGATTATCAAATAGGAAACTCATATTGATAATAGAAATGAAATCGATTCGAGTTAAGTAAATATTAAGTTATGCTTGAATTTAAGTTAGATTACAAAGTTTAAGTTTAAATCAGGTTCTGTTATTTTTTATACTTCAATTCAAATTTTATAAAATTATAAAAAGGTAGATAAAGGTTAATATATAAAACTTTTATGTATGACTAGATTAATTCATCTATAAATAAAAGGTAATAAATTGCTGTTTTGGCAACTTAGGTTTTTGAATTTTGGATAAGTAATTATCTTTTTATTTTTTGGTATTTGAAGTTATTAGATATTGAATCCTTATTATTAAAACTAAAAATATAATACTCTATCATTTATTAAATTACAAAGAAACTAGTACAAAGAAAAATACTAATTATTAAATTACACATATAGCTCTTGCAAAATTTAATCATTCAAATTTTCACAAACTCACATATATATCCTAAAGACTCTTGTGAAGAAAATTAAAAAACTTTTTTATCTAATTATCATTTATAGTTATAACACTATTATAAAGAAAATACTAATTATTTATACTAATTGTTAAACTCCCAAATTGTTCATTTAAAATTTCACATTGTTAAACCCAAATTGCTCCTTTAAGCTTTCATAAACTCAAATATATCTCAAGTACACTTCTCAAGAGAAAAAAGCCTCTACTTTTTTTTTTTTTTAAGAAAAATCTCAAGGTAAATAAGTTATTTAATTTTTCAAATCAAAATAAAATATATCATATTTGATAATTAAAAAAGATAATTATAGATCGTACATTCAAAATAATTTCAATAAATAATCGTAAATAAAATTCGAACTCAAAATTTTTTTATCGAAAAAGATGAGCCTTTATCTAACTTTCATTTAGAGGATAGATGTTACATTTTAAAACTTTAAAATTTAATTAAACTTATACATGAGTATTTAACTCAATAATAAATGTGTACATTTTTTAATCGAGAAATTCAAATAAAAAGATTAAAATATTAACTTTTTTTTTTCTCACCTCACCGAATCTAAAACCATAAACCCCAGAAATCCAAGCTAAGTCCAAAGCCAAAAAGAAGCTAACAGCCAAACTCGTTCTCCGGCAATGGTGACATCAATCGAAGCAGCAGTGGAATTGTTGTGCCAAATCAAGTCAAAGGAGCCGCCGGTGTGGCTCGTGCCAAAACAGGAGTTCTCACAAGCGGTTCGCGCGGCGTCGAAGCAGCTCTTCTCGAGTCTGAAACCGCACAGCCCGCACGCTCCATTTGATCAGCTTCTGATCGAGGGGTTCGACGCGGAGCAGATATGGCAGCAGATTGATCTCCAATCGATGCCGCTGCTATCCACCCTTCGCCGCGAGGTCAAGAAATTCGAGAAGCATCTCGAGGAGATTTCCAAGCTTAAAGAAGCTGTAGAAGGAGGAAAGAAGAAGAAGAAGGTTCTAGAAGAGAATGAGAATGATAATGTTTTTGTTTACGATGATGATGACGAGGAAGACGATGAAGATATGGATATGGACGAAGATGGAGATGATGATAATCATGATGATGATGAAGAGGAGGAGGAGAGAGGAAGGGAAGAAGATGATGAGAGTGAAGCAGAGGAAAAAAGAGGGATAGAGGATAAATTTTTGAAGACCAAGGAATTGCAAGAGTACTTAGAGGAGGATGAAGCTAGAGAATTTGGCTTCAAGAAGAAGAACACAAAGACAGAAACTAAGAAGGACGAAGAAGACTCAGAAGATGATGAAGAAGAAGGAGAAGAAAATGATGATGATAATGACGAGGCAGATGAGGAGGAAGATGAGGTAAGAACATTTTTCCTTTTTTTCATTTGGTTATTGTTTGAGAATTTTCTTTATTAGAATTTAATGCAATTTGTATTATGCAGCTCGGACTCTTTGATGGAGATTATGAAGTTGAAGAAGACAACTTGGAAAATGCCAGGTTCGGTTTGCGAGTTATGTTTATCATTTTGTTATCTTTACTTTGTTTCATTCTCTGTTCCTCCTTCCACTGAAATGAAATTTTACTATATTTAATAACTGAATCTAGTTATTTCTTAATTTTGCTACCGATAGTAATGCATTACTGGTAATGCTTTCATTTGTTGCATGATGCTTAGCATTATAGTATCCACATAAGAACTATTACTGAGTTTCCACTTTGTTTTTGCTGCATAATTGTTTCTAAAATTATGAAAACAATATTTTGATGCAACAATAACTGATGCTGTTAATGGTATTGGCATTGCACCACAAAAATATCTGCTGTAGTTAGACATCACTACTAATTTTGTCACTTCTGCCATTATAAGTGACGATGTTTCTGCTTCCTATTTATTTGGAATCCACTAGTCTATGAGTTGGTAATGCATGTACTGTTTTAAGTTATGTACCTCATTGTTTTAAAATCAATCTAAAACATGTATCAGTCATACCTCTGCAGTAACTTCCTGCAAAAAGGAAAATTTCCTCTTTCTATTTGGATTTTTCACATAGCAAAATGATTGAAAGAAGTCCAATCATCACCTCTCTTTTGCCCTGGTGTGATATGATGCTTCCTTAATGCAGTTTGGATGGTTTCTATTTCTCTAGCATTATTTTCTTGATGTTATTGTATGCAATAATTGCGCCACATATCATTCGCACTTGCTTCGTTCTAAATTTTAACCGTCAGTTGACCTTTTATTTCCTTTCTTAAACCTTGTGCCCTTGTTATATTCAGATATGAAGATTTTTTCAGCAGGAAAAAGAATAAGGGTTCCAAGGAGAAAGCCAAATCTAGAGACAGGTTGGAAGAAGATTCAAGATCAGATGATGAACAAGATGTTGATAAGGTAGCGGGAAATTGGGTTTTGTATTCTCTTGGTGTATAATATATGAATATATAATGGAACTTCACATACAGGACTGATAACTAGATTTTGGCACATCCCTACAAGGGTGGAAGAGGGAAAATAGTTAAAATGAAAAAAAAAAGTGAAAATATTTGGTGAAAGGAAGAAAAGAAGTTATCTTACAATAGGAATGGATAACTTTTTTTTTCCAATCGCCTGGGAAATTTTCAAAAAAAATTAGTTCAATTATGATCTAAATCATCATTTATAGGAAGATTATATAACATTTATATCCTTGATTCTGTATATTTGCTATGACTTGTTTTTTCTGTAAATTTACCGAGTCGGTATTACTTGACTTCTAACGTCAAACTTGATCAGGAGCTTTATACATGTAGTATAGACATATAATATTTCAGTCAATAATACTGCATATATTGATTTTACTGGACGAAATTTTTTTTTCTTTTACAGAGAAAGGGTGGTCTTTCTACACATGAAAAAGATCTTGAAAAACTTAGATCTAAAATAGAGCAGATGGAGAAAGCAAACTTGGATCCAAAAATTTGGACAATGCATGGAGAGGTAACTTTGTCGCAAATTAATTGTATAAGCTCTCTTAGTATTCTTTAGTACATGTGTGTTTGGAAAGAATCAGATTATTTATACTAATTTTTTTAATAACAGGTAACTGCTGTACAAAGGCAAAAGAATAGTGCGTTAGAAGTTGATTTAGATTTTGAGCACAATGTCAGGCCTGCCCCTGTAATCACAGAGGAGGTTACTGCATCACTTGAAGATTTGATTAAGACTAGGATCAGTGAGGTAAGCTTCTTGCCCAACAGCTGGAATTTGGAATTGTTCTTTAGTAAATTTATTAACTTATCTCCGATGTTTACATCAAAATGTTTATAGTAAATTGTGAAATGTATGTACTTGTCTCTAAAAACTGCAGCACTGCCTATCTTTCCGTTTCATATATCTCTTTAACCCAGTTAAGTTTGTTGAGTGCTTGAAGAGTTCTACATATAACTAAAGTATAGATGGCTTGGTATGTAATAAGTTTATGTAGCTAGACATTTTTTTTATGTTTGTAAATGAATGCATTATTTTCCTAAAATTTTGTGCCTGTTGATGCGTGTTAGCTGATATGTCTGAAATTCTAGATTTTGTTTTAAGTTGATAAATAATTTTACTCTTAGTGATTGTATTGCTTGGATTTGTTAATAATTTAAAATATACATGCTCTTAAGAATGTTAAGGATTCGTGGCATTTAAACTTCTATGTTTGCCTTACATTTTTCTTACTTTTTTTTTACTGTGTAGTTAATGAGATAGTCTTATGCAAATTGAAGTGCTTCTTTGATCCTTGTGGTTTTAATTTATCAAAAAATCATAAATTCTCATTATTTTCCACACTCCAAGAAAGGGGCTGTTTACTGCTAACAAATAATAATGTTATGATTTTATGTAGGAGTGGTTTGATGATGTTCAAAAGGCTCCCACTTTATCTTCTAAAGCACCTAGAGAGACCAAAGAACTGGTAAGTTGTAATTAATCATTAATGGTTTCTTTTAAGGTTTTGACATTTTGTGTCTTTTTTTTTTTTTTTCTAATGACTGAAATTAATTATTTCAAGCACATCTTTGTAATATTGCAGGATGAGAATAAGAGCAAGAAGGGTCTTGCTGAAGTTTATGAGGTTTGCATGCAATGTGATTGTCATATATGGCTAAATGTTATATTAGATTAAAACATCCTCTCCTATTACCGTCCTGTGCTTTTTTTTGTATTTCTCATTCACACTCCAGCTTTTTTATATATGCTCAAGAATCATGAATGATAATTGTAATTTAGAATCTTTTAATCTTTTTCTTCTTTTAAATTGTAAAAACTGTATAATCTTTGTAGGAAGAATTTGTCCAGAAGACAGATCCAGCCTCTGCCCCATTGACCTCTCAGATGAACTAAAGAAAGAGGTAAATATTATATAGTTTTGCCCTCTGATACCGTAGTCCCACAGCATTCCAGTCAAGAATTCACCTTTTAGATTTGTTTTTATGTTTGATATTCAGACATCTCAGTGGTTTTTTTCCTGTATTTTCTTTTGCCAGGCCAGTATGCTGTTGAAGAAACTTTGCTTGAAGTTGGATGCTCTTTCTCATTTTCACTTTACTCCAAAGCCTGTATGCTTCTCATTTGGTTTCCTGATTGCTATATACAGTCAGAACAAATCAGCTTGCCAGAGTGTTTAGTATATGATGTCTTGATTTCTATAGGTTGTTGAGGACATGTCTATACAAAAAAATGTCCCCGCCCTTGCCATGGAAGAGGTACAAAGGTTTCCCAATTATTTTTTAAGAATCTGGTCTTCTCATAGTTTACAATTACTCACATGTCTATGTGTGTGTGTGTGTGTATATATATATATATGTATGTATGTATGTATGTATGTATATATGCTTATTTATTAATTTTCCTTGGTTAGATTGCACCTATGGCCATCTTAGATGCAGCTATGCTTGCTCCCGAAGAAGTTTTTTCTGGTAAAGGTGACATTAAAGAAGAAGCAGAACTCACAAAGGTGGAAAGGAAGAGGAGGAGGGCTAACAAGAAAAGGAAGTTTAAGGGTAAGCAAATTAAAATTTCTTGAGCATCATTAAAAGTAAAAACAATAACTAATACTTTGCTTTGACTGTAATGAAATTTAGGGACTTTTAATGTCCCATGCTTTGTATATCAAAACCTGCTGAAAAAATATCACGTAAACTTGTATTGGAACAGTTTTGGCAAATAAGCATTTCCTGCTAATGGTTTTGTGCACAACCTCTCACAAGCTTATCATTCTTCTTTTGCTACTCCAATTATTTAAACGTCCAATGATGGGATATACTTAGTTTTGGTAATTGAATGATTATAACGTGAAAAGAATAGGGTCTAGTAGCCAAGGCATCAGCTGATCCGGTTAACATTGGTTCCTGGCTCCCTAGCCCTTATGTTTATCTTGTTAAGCTTTTGGTTTATGTTTTAAATTTTGATTCATTTCAACAATCAACTTTTGCCACCATGATTACAGCTGAAGCAACGAAAAGAATGGCTACAAAGCCACGAGAGAACACAGCACTCAACAACGATGAAGGTGGCTATTCTATCTACTATTTTCCTTTGTAAATCTTAACTATAGAAATTAGTTAAATATTTTTCCTTTCTCAAACACTTCATACTATTTGCAGGCAAGGAAGAACAGTGACTTACTTTCCTCAAGTATGGGAGATCTCCTGAATCCTTTCAATTTGTGTTTTGAAGTTTCGGACATGAAGACGTATTTAAAAGAAGATGCACTGGGCGAAGCCTGGAAACGTTTTTCCAATTAAAAAAAAATGGAAGACAAGTCATGCTTGGGTTCATCCTTAATGTTACAGCTATCAATATCTAGGTCTTTTAGCTAGGGAAACAAATACAAAGAGGTGAGTGGGAAGTCAACCGAAAGCAGATACAGGGATTTTACTCTTTAAGGATAGATATGGATATTATACAAGTTTTGGTAGATAATTTGGTGAGATAATGTTTAATGTTTAAACAACCAGATGGCAGCATTTGTGCGAAATCAAGTCATTAATTGCCTTTTTCTTTTTTTAACAAATTCAGCTCATATAAATTTTTTTTGCTTTGCCAATCTTGTTTATTTAAGAATTAAAGTGAACCTGTACATTATCATGTCAAAGCAACAACGAAGGGTGAAAAAAGAACCATGGCCAGAGTATATGAGATATTGTTGTTGCTGTAATTTAAAATTATTACCTTCAAGAAATTGCTTTATGGCTCTGTGTCTAATTTTTCGTGTGGACTTCCAAAATTTGCTACAATTTGTGTGGTGGAAACTAATTTGTTGAAGACTAGCTCTGGAATTGGATTAATCGCCTAGTTGGCTACAATGTATATAAGGGTACTCCTATTGAGATTCAGAGTGTTATGATGCCGCAAATCCAATGCCTACTTTTTATTTAAAATAAGTTTCTCGAAATAAGTTTATTTTTAGTTTATGAAAAGAAATCCAAGTTTTTTTTGGTTTTCATTTTTATAGAAAATAAAGAATAATGAAAAATTTTATTTGGTTGAAAAATAAAAATGAAAAAAAAAAAAAAAGAGAATATTAATTCCATAAAAGTTGAAATTTACTATTGAAAAATGTTTTTAGCTCCTATCTCAAGGAATTATTGAACCCATTTCTTTTTTACGAGCATTCAAAGCGTTTTATGTCGATAAAAGATGAGAACAAATTTATAAAAAGTTGAGATTAATTATTAATTATAAGCTTCTTAATTTTTTTTATTGCAGATGACAAGTTTCTTCTCTCAAAAAGACTTTTCTTTTTTTTTCTGGAAGAATTGTCATAAGCAAAGTTGTTATCAAAATTTAACCAGAAATCAAAATTTTGACGGTTAGTATTCATCGTTAGAAAAGATACAAAACAACCTTTTATATTCCGCAACATCATTTTCAATAGCTTCATCACTATTTCACAAAGTACTTTGTTTCAGATAAACAGATACATCCACAGTTACTTGTTAATTTTCAACCCATTGTACAACGGTATGGAATCATGTTAGAAAGGAAATGAAATTAGGCACCTCAGAAATCGATTTCCTTCGAATGCACCTCAAAGATCGACAATATATTGCTTAATCACACGTTGTCTAAGCCCTTGAAGATTTTTCTGAGAAAATCTATTGAGAAGACAAGTCCAGTAATTTCTCGAAATTGTCAATTATGAGTGAATTCCTGCCAAACTTGGCATAGTTGACAAATTCTCTCAAACAAAATTTCAAACAAAAAAATCCATCAATGATCCCAAAATTAAACACAGTCAATAAAGATTCTCAAGCAAAAGTTAAAGTCACTTCCAATGTTTCAAATTTCCTTTGATGACAAAAGAATTTTACATACTGATAACAGTGATAAATTTTGGTCAATAATTTTATTGAAAGAAAAATATAAAAAATGACAGATATGTGAAATTAGAAATCTGCTATCACTTTATTCTCAATGAGATACTTGCAAATAAATATGAAATCCAAATATTTGAGTTTCATGCTATTATTTTCTTATAAAATTAAATATATCAATTTTTGTGCAAATACTTAATTAAAAAAAAAAAAGACAATGTTGAATACATAACTATTAAGGGTGAAAAAAAAATTAAGAAAATTGAAATTGATTCGTAATCGGAGTGCTAGGTTTGGTTCAATCGATTTTTTTTATTCGATTCAGATTAAGTTTGAATTTTAAAAATATATATTAAGTTTGAATCAAATTTTAGATTAAGAAATCAAAAATAAAAAAAAAATCGAATTGAACCAAATTGAACTGAATTATATATTTTTATTAGATTTTATATATTTTTAAAATTTTTATAAAATAAAAATAATTATTTTATACCTAAATCTATTTAAATATATTAAAAAATCATATAAAAATAATATATAAAAATTAAAAAATTAATAACCTATGAACCAAACCAAATCGAATCGGTAGAATTTAGTTTGGATTGAATTGTATGAAAATTTAGTTCAAATTTTAATCGAATTTTAAAAATTAATAATTTTATGCATTATTCGAAAAATTAAACCAAATTTAATTTGATCCGAACCATTATCACCTCTAACAACTGTTATAAATAGCATAATGCTTTTCAAAGTATTTCTTCACAATCAAACATATAAAAGGAAATGATAATTTCATTCCAGATATGCTATTCGGACCTAATCCATTAAAGCTTTTGAAGATCATTCCAATAATAGCAATAACGAATTCCCCCTGATTTCTTTCAACCTTTTTCATCAAAGTTAAAATCTCCAACAATCTTCAAACCCTTCTTCTCTAAAGAGCCTACCCTTCCAAACCCTTGACTTGCCTAATAACTAGAACATTTTAGTTGATTAACTTTTTCTAGAACTCCAGCAACTTATGGCAACAAACACTCTTGATGGAAAAGCACATCATCTCTTATTTAATTATCAAACTAAGATTCTTAGAACATTTCGTGATATCTCCATCCAATCTTTAGCATTGAATCCAAAATACCCCTTCGTTCACTCTTTAACCTGCCATGTGTTGGTAATAATGACTCAAATCCCATAATAAATTTGTTTGAGATTGGTTAGATATTGCTTGATGGACAAAAAGACTTGCAGAAGAAGAATTTTAAGAAAATAAAGATTTTTAAAAGGCAAGTTTGACTTACAAAAAAAAATTTTAAGAAGAAAGAGATTCTAAATAGGCAAGTTTGTATGCTTATAAATAGGTGAAGTTTCTACAGGGTTGGTATGAGAAAAAGATGTAAGAAAGTTATAAGATTTTATGGGTAGACACCGTATAAATTATTAAAGATTTACGTCTTATAGATGTGCATGTTTATTTATAAGTGGACTAGAAGAGATTGAGATGGTTTATATAGATATGATGCATGAGTGCATATGGGTATATGTTTGATTATGTTGAAAGAGTGCACTTGGGTATATGTTTGTTTGAGTTGAGAATACTCCATAGGATTATAAGAGATTGATAGGGTCTACAAGTATTGATTGTTGAGTGGTTGATATATTTTGATGTATATTTTTAATTTTTTACAACTAGTGGATCTTATTTCTCATCTATAGATGTAGGTTAGTTAGATCGAACTACGTTAAATTATTGTTTCTTGTGTGATTGTTTGATAGTTTGATTTTGCTTTCATTGGTGTGATTGGATTGAGGCTATTTGACCTAACAAGTGGTATTAAAACTGTGGTGATCTCTAACAAATGGTATCAAAGCTAAACGTTCGAGACGTGAAAAGAGCTGAAGGTTCAATCCATGGGAAAAGACAAGTCCAGATGAGCTTAACTCAAGGAAAAAGTTTGCGTTCATGTTTTAAAGATCAATTTGCGTGAAGCGTGAAGACACACAAGAGAAAATGATTGTGAGACTTTCATTATAGGTAAAGTCAAGCATGTCTAGCATGAAGATAGATGATTTGATAAAATTTGAGTTAAGGTGGAGATTGTTGGGAATAATGACTCAAATGCCATAACAGATTTATTTAGGATTGGTTAGATATTGTTTAATGGATAGGAAAACTTGCAAAAGAAGAATTTTAAGAGAAAAAAGATTCTTAAAAGGTAAGTTTGACTTGCAGAAGAATAATTTTAAGAAGAAATGAATCTTAATAAGTAAGTTTGTATGCTTATAAATAGGTAAAGTCTCTACAGGTTAGGTATGATAAAAATATATAAGAGAGTTGTAGGGTTTTATCGATAGACACCCCATAAACTATTAAAGATTTATGTCTTATGAGTGTGTATGTTTATTTATGAGTGGACTAGAGAAGATTGAGAGAATCCACATAGGTATAATGTATGGGTGCATATGGGTATGTGTTTGGTTGTGTTGAAAAGGTGCACATAGTTATGTGTTTATTTGAGTTGAGAATACTCCCATAGGACTAGAAGATATTGAGAGGGTCTATAGGTATTGATTATTGAGTGGTTGATATATTTTGATGTATGTTTGTAATTCTCTACAACTAGTGGATCTTATTTCTCATCCGTGAATTTATGTCAGTTGGATTGAACCACGTTAAATTATTGTCTCTTGTATGATTATTTGATCATTAATTTTACTTTCGCTGGTGTGATTGGATTGAGGCTATTTGGCATAACACCATGAAACTCATAATCTTCTTAAAGAAACTGTTTGTTTTCTCTAATATTTGTGCCACCTTTACTAAATCATAATAGAATATCGTTTACACAAATTGGTGCAACTTCTCTAGAAGTTACACCATGGTACCATTCAAACCAAAAAGACACATTTGGACCCCAGTCATTAGAATATAAAACATTTTTTTCAATGGTTCAAACCTATTCCCACGTGGATTCATTGGTTGTAGACCTATGAAACATATAATAAGATACTCATATTCTCCACATCACTATTGTCTTTTACAAGTGTAACTAAGTATTTTTCATATGTGGGAATCTATAGTTTTCAATGATGCTTTCCTTGCAAATTCAATGTATAAGCATCTAAAGAATACCAAGACTTACGAGAAGTCTTTAATAGATGAATCAGAGAGTCCTCCCCAATTTTGGTTGCCTATAGACGAGGATACTTTTTGATTAAATTATTCATCGAAATACACTACCTAATTACACATAGGCAAAAAAATTTATGAAACAAGATTTTCATATCCTTGATCTAAACCATTCACACCAGACATTGAGTTCTACTTCAAAACTACAATTGCTAAACCACTTTCATGGAACCTTTATTGGAATCCTCTTGAAACATTTGATGAGTCTCCACCTTATTGGCAAGACTTCATGACCCATTTGATTTTGATAATTCAAATCAATGACTAAACAATCTTGGTTATGATCTCACTCCAAAAATGGATAACTTCTACTTGAATATATTATAGATCATAGTCCCATTACAAATAAAACCTTATTCTCAAATACCCCTATGCCCTATTCCAATCCAAATGTTTTGCTTGTATAATTAAAGTATTTTCAATATATGTGCCTAGTCAACTACTCAAGAAGCATGAAGCCTTAGCATTTAGACAAAAAAAAAAAGTTATGTTGTCACTTCAAAATTGTCTACTTTTTTTAAAATGTGCTAGTCTTTTGTTAGAGTCATTGTCACTATAATATTGTATAATAGTGTTAGATAACTTTTTAAGGCTATAAATATGTATAACTTTTTTCACTACAAAGGTAGAATTAGAATTCCAACTTACTCTATAAGATATTGTGAAATATAAGCTATGAATTTTAAATTCTCTTTTTTGGCTACTTTTTTTCTCCCAATCGAATAACTGATCAATCTATTGTTCTATTATTATGGTTTATAGTGATATAAGTAATATGCTCTGCAATTACCATAATAGTGGATCCTCTACATCCAAAAACTTAAAAGATTGATAAACTAACTTTGATCCACAAAAAAAAGTTATTGTAGCAAGGTTTATTGAAATCAATTACTCTAGCAAAAGGCATAATTGCATAAAAATTAGATCATTTGTTCGATATTAATGCCTAAAAGGTGCTTAAATTTGGAGAACTGACTAGAACACCTTAATTTATGTTGAAGCTATAAAGAGAATTTTAAAAAATTATCTGTATTTCAGAACACGGATTCTAATATGTAGATATGAAATGGTTTTTTTTTTTACTCATATTATTTTCTTCTCTTTTCTACAATTGCTCCTCTTAAACCCCATACTTTTTCTTCTCTTATTTTCTTAGGTTTTTTGGCTTTTCCTCTCTATTATTCACTTTTTTCTTCTCTAGACTTAGCAATTTATATTTTCATATCATCTCTCATGTCATATTTGACACGTGTAATAACACAAATATTAAAACATGAACATCATATGAATTATAAAACGTGTTTAAATCATAAACACAAATACGAAACATTTATTATACGTGTTACACATGACATGATATGATTAACACGTATACAATTAATCTGTTTAAATGTGACACAAAAAAAAAAGAATAACATGAAAATATACGAATAGACACGATTAACACGAATATATACAAAAACATAACTAAAATAATAAATAATTATAAACTATTCAACATTTACAACTTAATAAACTTGGCATATTAATAATATGAAAATGTACTTACATATTAAAAAAATAAAAAAAATTTAATACACATTTAATATGTATTTAATATATATATTTAAATTTTAATATATATTACATAACTATATTAATTTTTAATATCAAATTCAAAATGATAAATTATTAAAGTTTAAAAAATAAAATAATAATGCATAAGACTAATATTAATATTGTATTTATATTATTAATATAAAAAATAATTTTATAATAATTATTAAATGAGTATCATAATTAAATATTTAAAATAAATTTTATACGATATTAGATAACTAATTAAGTATCATAATTAAAAGATTAAAAATTAAAATAATCTTTATATATTTATATTATATTAAAATAAATATAAAAAATGTGTTGAATGTGTTAAACATGTTAAACGTATTAAACAATTTAAATATATATTCATATGATAAAATTAAATTAAACGTGTTATTCGTGTCATATCATGTCATGTGTTTAGATATATCAACACGTATAAGACACGAATTATGTTATGTCGATACTAATAAATACGAAATACATTTATTTAAAATATATATACGATTTTTTCTGTATCATTTTTATATCGTATCATCGTATTGTGTATGAAATTGTCATATCTATTCTTCTCCCATTTCCTTCATTGTTTTGCAGTCTGTCGACATCGCGTCGGCCACCACCGTCGATCAAAGCAGTTTTACCAATAACACAATCTGACCTGGAGAGGGTAAATACTCATGCTTGACGAATCTGTGAACATCAAAGAAATTGGAAGGAGCAGCTTTGTGGAAGCAGAAACAAATGCCTAGGCAAATAAAAGGGAAAGAGTGATGATTTTAAAACCTGATGTAAATTTGAGTACTTGGGAAGTACATGTTCCACCTAATGTCAGATTATTTTGCTTCAAATTCACTTGTTACTCTTAAGACATACAACTATAGCTTCATATTACGAAGAAGACTTTTTAGTGTTGTGAAGCATACTCTAAGACATACAACTATAGCTTCATATTACGAGGAAGACTTTTTAGTGTTGTGAAGCCATGCATCTCATGCTGGCATGCGCTCGTTTGCAGAATCTGCAAAATTTTCATTCCAGTCAAAGCTTATTTCTATACATATATATATATATATATATATATAATATCGGTTGTTTGCTTGTTTGTTCTCTTTAATTTTTTTTTCTTCTTTTTGTGGGAAAAAAGATTGATGTTGGAAAGAATTTTGTGCCAAATAACGTGCAATGAAAGATTTGGCTTGTATTTGGAAGAAATTTCTCATGCAATTCTTATGTTTATTTTAATTGTAATTTACTTTTATTACTTAGTTAAATTTTACTTTTCTTTTAAAAGATGTCATTTATTTTAATTATTTAATTATTATTTTTTCATATTCTTATTTTGAATATGCATATATCAAACACATATTTACAATTTTCATTCTCTAAAAACAATTTCCACTTTGGTGGGTCAAACATGTTTTTCAAAAATCAAAAATCAAAAAATAAAAAATGAAAATTAATTTAAAAAATAAAAAATAAAAACAGAAAACATTTTTTTTAAAACAATCAGAACCTATAACATTTTCATTCTCCTCAACGCGTCATCTGAAGATTCCTCATTTGCATAAGTGACTAACATCCTTCATCATTATTCATTGTTTTCCAATGATGTAAGTTGAAAATGTAAATACCAAACATGTTTTAACTATTTTAATTTTTGAAAACAATTATTCATTTAAAAAAAAAACACGTTTTTCAAAATTCAAAAAATAGAAAATAAAAATTATTTTCTAAAAATGAAAATAGAAAATATTTTCTCAAACCAAACAATAGCCTAACATTTTCATTCTCCTCAGCCCTTTATTCCATGCAAAACAATGAAAGAGCCAATAAGGAAGTAAGAAAGAGACGCATGCCAAAAGCATTAGATCTAGTTCCTAGCTAATGCTGTCTGTTGTCTTCTCTATCCATGGAAAAATTGAAGGTTTGCCCCTTGATAATTTTGGTTCTATTTCTTCAAGTTTTCTTCAAGCCTCTCAATGGCGGCCCCCAGACCACTCTTTGCTTCTTCCCTTTGTCCTGGTTCTTTAGCAGTTATATTCCCTTCATTTGCTTTCTCTACAAGCTTCAAGTGGATCCAACCTGTCCCAAAATGCAATCTTTTATTATATATATGTTCAGCCCTATAAATCACTCTTCTGTCTTTTAGTGTTACAACAGTGACAGACATCGGCTTCGATTACGTTCACCTTTAAAAGTGTTAAATGGTAACATTGCCTTGAGAGCATGATGTAAAAATACCTTGTGGTTGAATGACAAGGCAGAAAATTAGCATAGACTATTTTATCAAGGCTGATTTCTCCACCTATTCCTATCAAACTAACATTTTCCGTATAATAATAAGTAGCGACTTTGAAATTTGAGCAACCCACCCATTACAAAGCATTGGAGATAACCATTTCACTGTCATTCAAGAAAATATCAATATGCATTTATAAGGTGAAAATTAATTACCAAGAGGGAAGCAGAAAGCTGCTCCGAGAACTGAACCCAGCACCACGTTCCTTGCACGCCATTGAAGAGATCCAGGCACTACATATGTCAACAAATTTCAACTATGAAAGACGTTGATGGTAGAGATTAGAACTATGCTAGAACCCTTAGGAAAATGATTGCAATTTGTAAAAATCAGTTTCATAAGGTATGAATTATTACTAATTAGACCAAAGGTTGCAGCAGTTGCTGAACCAGCTCCAACAACATTGAATACATCATGGACACCCCGTTTCTCAGCCAACAAATTTTGTAAACCACAGAATGCAGCAGTGAACATTCCTAGGCGAACTCCACCAACAATTGAGCCACGAGTGACTCGGAGAAACCTTTTTTCCATTGCATCTCGCATCAACCGATACTGCTCCCGTTTATCTGGAGTGCTGCCAAGCTTCAACATTACTTCTGCATCTTTGCTCTGCCAAAGTACTCCCATGTTTCAATAAAAAATAATACTGAATAACAATAACCACATGAATTGACTATAAATATGGACATAATTGATCTCAAGACAAACCCAATGAACATTAGCAAGGGCGGAAAGGGCAATATCATGATTGTAATCAAAAGCAAACAATTTCCAGGACTGTAACGACGTCCATTATATACAAATTATCTCACGTTCAAACATTCCTGCAACTCCCTACGAACTAAATTGAAGAATTTTTATAGAAACAAAAAAACTTACAACTGAAGCAGCAGCTTCCTTGCTACCTCCATATAACATGCCTGCAAACACTCCAATGACTGTGGCTGTGGCCCAGTTTACAGTTCCAGCTAATCTTGGCGTT